GTGTAGTACGGTGTACATTTTAGGACATCCTCAGACCTCAGTCATTAAATGAAAAGGCGTCATGCCTCAGACTAAAAGGCTTCAGTCATTGGACAAAACGGCATCGCGCCTCAGACTGAAAAGCTTCAGGTCTCAGGAAAAACGACGTCAGGTGTCAGGTCTCATACAATTAGGCATCAGACGAAACGGACTCAGACAAAAAGGCATCAGACGAAACGGACTCAGGTGGAGTGTCGTGTTGCCCCGCCCCATGTGACGTCACGTACGCGGTTCAGAGGATGTGGTATGGAACGGTTGATGGATGGCAAAAGGAGGTAAGCCGCATCTGATATATTATATTTTAACAGTTGTATTTAAATGTTAAACTAATTAAGTTATATACAGAAAAGAACATGCATTTCGAGAGTCTTGTGTGCATGTTTAAAAAGTTAGTTAGCCATATTGCAACTAGCCAGCTTTTATGTTGGCAAACTGTAGTAAAGTTACCCTTACGAAAAATAACCATGGTTTTACTACAAAAAAAAATAAATAATAATAATAACCTGGTTGCTATAGTTAAACCATGGTAGGCCTATCCACAGATTAACCATGGTTTTGCTACTCTAACCATAGTTTAACCATGGTATGGTTTTGCTACTCTAGCCAAGTTTAACCATGGTATTTGTAGTAAAACTGTGGTTATATAAATGGTAATCATTACACTAAAAAAACATGTTACTACACTTTTACTATAATAAAACCATGGTCAGTTTACGTCAAGGTAAAGCGAATTCTTTCGAGCTATTAGATTGAAATCTTAGACTAATTATAATATACCTGTATATTATTAGAGTCTAACACTAGGAGTTGTTGAATTAAATGTTTTTGTAAAAACAATGGTTCTGTCTTATAACTAAATATATATTTGTTTGTTTCAGTCAATCAAGAATGGATACAGAGATAAGTATCCTGCATTTAAGATGGCTTATATTATAAATGTATTGTTATATGTGTTAGCTTGTAATACTATCATGTTCTGTTTGCTAAACTACTGAATGAATGTTGAAACTTTCTACAGAATTAAAAAAAAACTTCACGTTAATGTGCCTTAACTTATTTAGATGAAACGATAAAGTTGCTATTTGACAATGGCTTCAAACAAAGAGAAATGTGCTCTTTTCTTGCCGCTTCTGGATACAAAATCAGGTAATCATTCAGCTTAGTTAAATTGGTAACACTTACTATGAAGCCCATATTTTTAACACATTATAAGGGTATTCTTAAGGCATTATAATGAATGCACAATGCATTATAAAAAACTTATTATATGTTGTTTCATCTCATAAATAATCATAACAACAATTATAATACATTATAAAACTTACTTATTTGTGGTTATAACTTTTATGAGTATGATTATGTATAACACGCAATAAACACCATGTTAAATCCACGTAATTTATAATGGATTATACGTCTTATATCTTGACATTATTTATTTAAGATCTGTACAGTAACTTACTGTCTTATTGATATTACAATAAATATAGTTAAAATCAAATGTGCCATATTACACATTCATCTGATCAGATATCTGATCTTATGGCTGTTTAAGAAAAAATATTATTTTTATTTTCATTATTATTGTTGTCGTTGTTGTTGTTATTTATAAGTGGTATTTGTCTGCTTTAAATAAAGTAACAAGTTAACAATGGCAAGATATGGGACTTATAATACATTATAACTATGGGAAATATAAACCATTGTAAGTTAAGTGGATGCATTGTGTTCATTGTGTATTATAAATCACAATCTTAAAAGCTATAACCACAAATATAAGTATAGTAATAAGTACATATTATAATGCATTAAAACTGTTGTTATGATTACTCATGAGATGCACACACACTGTGAACACACACCCGGAGCAGTGGGCAGCCACTTTTTGCTGTGGGTTCAGTGTCTTGCTCAAGGGGACCACTGTTGTGGGTAATGCGGGTGGAAGAAAGTGCTGGTCATTCACACCCCCAACCTACATTTCCTGCCGGTGCTGAGACTCAAACCCACAACTTTCAGGCTACAAGCCTGACTCTCTAACCATTAGGCCACGACTACCCATAAACCTGCAAGCAAAGGAATGTTCCAGGTCAATTTGGGAAACCAGACCTTCCCTTTACTTCCCCACCCGAAGGTACCTGTTTCAAGAATTCAGAAAAATATCAGAGGCTATTCTGCAAAATACAAACTTTCCATCATCACCAGATGGGTCTTTGGCGGCTTACCTCATGTTGGTGGATAAATTCACCACAGTCCTTCAAACAAGAGGCATTCCCATTCCATCCACATTTGCAGAGGCAAATGAAATATACCAGCTGCTGGCCAATGAGACAGGGACTTTTTAACTGCTTATCCAACTAAATAAATCCATATAAAGGGACCAAATTATTAAAAAAGTGCTACAAATGAAGATGCAAAACATGTTTAATGATGTGAACATACATTGAAACAAATAATAAAACATACCAGCAGTGTTAGACAGAGAGAAGGGCTGTGATTATAATGTTAACATTTTACCAACATTGGTATTTGTACTACAAACTGAAAATGACAAGAAATGTTACACTGTCCATGTGATAATCCGTAACATTTACCATTCATAACCATGACGGCTCTTTAAATCTGGCCCCTCCACTGTTTTTAGGTAGAGCACCACAGAGGAAGCTTCAGGTCTTGATGCTGCATCATAGTGTAACATTGTACCAATAAACTGGTACTTGTCTCTCAGATGTTGTAAAGCTTGTGGTGGCACCTTTTTGGCCATTAGACTGCACAACTCTCTTTGGTTTTTCACTGTCCATGTCACTGATTTTGTGAAAATCTACAGGTATGTTGCTCCCAGAGACCAGATGTCAGAACTACTGGAAGCCTGTTCAAATTCAGCTAGACACTCTGGGGCCATATAAAGAAAGGTTCCACCCATTGGCCCTATTCCTCCTCCAGTAAGTCTGCTTCCTTGTTGTAGTACAACCGTGTCTCTGATGTTGGCAAGGCCCCAGTCTGTCAGTACAGCCTTTTTTTAGAAATGGTCGATCTGTTTAAAGTATCAAAATAGGTTTTAAATCATTAAATGTATATGTTTTTACACATACTTACTGATTAACTAGAAAAAAGTCTTACCAAAACATTGGCTGGCTTTAAATCTTGATGGATGACATTTTTTGAATGGATGTACTCAATGGCCATCGAGATGTCGAGGGCAACAAAATAACTGTCATCTCCTTCAAGCTAAAAAAAATAAATAAAAATACAAATTTGAATAACAGACTTATGAAAGAGTTTAAAAGAGTCATATTTCACCAAAGAGAGAGATATACACACAACACAGCATAATCTTCACAAAAAAACAAAACAAAACATAAGTTCAAACTACCACATACACAGCAAGAGACAATTTTGTTAATGTTATGTTGCCTGATTTGCTTTACTAATTGAAAACAATAACACGTGTAAAGTTGTCATTATATTTAGAAATAATTGTTGCCTACTGATGTAGGCATGAAAAAGATTGTGAAGATTACTAACTGCTACTTTTTATTGGTAACACAATAAGGTCACTTGTTAACATTAGTTAATGTATTAACTAACATGAACTAACAATGAACAATACATTTCCAATAGTTCACAGTGCATTAACGTTAACAAATACAACTTTTGATATTAATAATGCATTAGTACATGTTGAAATTAACATTAAGATCTATAAATGCTGTAGAAGTATTGTTCATTCTTAGTTCGTTAACTACTACAGTTATCTACTATTAACTAATGAACCTTATTGTTAAGTGTTACCTTTTAATTAATAAAAGAATAAGGTAACAGAGTGTGGATCTCCCTCTTATATTTTGTATATATTTAAGTATTAGCTATTAAATGTTAAGACAATTTTTCACAAATGTTACATGAAAAATATGATTTTTTTTTTTACCTTAACACAAGAATGGTCATTGTGTAGTGCATCCTCCAGGGTTGTGCCGTGTATATACTCATTGGCCAGCAGGAAGGCGTTGTCAGTGCGGGCTGCAGCCATGAGTCGAACAATATTGGGATGGCTCAGTCGGCTATAAAACACAATGAAATGTTACAGGCATTTAGCAAATTATCAAGTAAAACTTAAATGACAACAATATAACTAGCACACAGTAGAAATGCACTGTTGTTATTAACAACTGTTCAATTCTCCCCAACTGTTAATATTAATATAAGATCAAATTAAAATTTATGTTTAATTATTAGATAGAATTAATGATGATTAATCTTACAGTGAGACCAGAATCTCGTGCTGGATGTCTTGGTCTGGAAGTCCTGCGGTGCCATAGAGAATCTTTTTAATGGCAGCAGGGGTGCCCTGAAAGTAGCCTCTATACACTCTTCCAAATGCACCTTCACCCAGCAGGTTCTCTTCTTTGTAATGGATTTGCGACTCGTCCACATATGGTAGGTGCGGAACATATACTATATTTAATAAAGCTGAGATTGGAAAAAAAATGCTATTATTTTATGCATTTAAAGAATATAACCACTTTAATCCTAATTAACAAAAAATATTGTAAACTTATGTGTCTTGGTAGGCAATATTACTTACATGATGGTAATATGGTTACAACATTGGACAAAACACTGGATTTTGTGGACATCCATATTTTTCTGCAGATCCCCACTTCACCTTCACCAATTCCTGAGAAAAGAAGGGATACATAGGTGTTACATAAATAAAGGAACACATACTAAACAATATAATTAATGAGCAACTGTTATGTATTACAAAACATACACGGGGCTTAAAATGTGCTATCAAAACTTATGGTACATACGTGATATTGAGCTGCTTTCATCAAGGCAAATGACATCTGTAGATACAACATGCAATTGGTACTGTATTAGCACAAGAGCAAGTTTATAACACACACATGCTATGTAATTTCAATATTACAATACCCATTTCTCTGCGTCCAATGTAAAATGTTCGCTTCCAGACGTTTGGGATCTCTGCCACGGATCCAAATTCCTGATGGAACTGTTCCTTCGTCCACCTCGTCCCATCTGCTTGGCAGAGAGTAAACACACTCCCCTCTCTCTCGTCTGACCAAAATGTCTCCTGGCCAAGTTTTAGGAGCTCATCATACCCCTCAGTGCCTGTGACAATTATCCGTGGTGGGGCCTCTTCAAGGATGATTTTTTGATATCTTCCTGGTTTTTTAGCAGTTCTTGGTTTCCACTCCATGGGAGCCATTTTTATCTTGGAACAAGTTGGTCCAAGTGTTGTTAAATCATGTTAAATTGTCCATGTTAAATACAAATTAAAGTAAATTTTGACATACTTTTAATTTTAAGTTTACTATAGTTTTAAGTTTTAGTTTAGTAGTATAGATAGATAGATTATTAGAAAGTATGGAAGCTTAAATGAGTCTAATGGACTTCGGTCTGTTTAGATTTCTGCAGGTCTGACCCAAGTTTGGTGTTTCTAGCTTGAAAGCCCTAGGACTAGTTAGAGTCAGAAAGTTTAGTCTCAGCAAAAGAATAATAATAATTTTAATTAGCATTTCAGTAGTTTGGCTTGAGAAAGCTAACTAATAATAATAAAACGTCTAAGCAGTAGTTCAGTCAGTTGAACTATTTTAAGCAATTATTAAGTCGAATTTCAAGTCTTTTTTTTCAAAATAATCACCCAAGATGTATCTATTAATCATTTTTATCGTTTTCTAACAATTATTTCTTAACCAAATATATTTGTGTCTATAATATTTCAATCTCCCTTTTTTCCCAAAGTAACAGCTATGAACCGAATCCATACGACTGTGAGGAAGAGACCCAAATCCAAGCCTTTTTTCGGCGATCTGCTTCTCCATCCCGAGCAGCGAGTCCAGTCAGTGACTGTGAGCTAGTGTTGTTACGTTTGTGAACGAATCGTTCTTTTTGAACGAATATTTTAGGTGAACGAATCGTTCTCGTTCACGTAATCCATTGATTATATTTCTCGCCTTCACGAGTTCACGGAGTGGATCGGGAAAATTATCTGGATAATATTTTCAGCGATTAACAACATAAATTCTGCTCTGGATCACACAAACCTACTGTATTCTGCTAGAGAGGACTGCGGGTGCAACGCATCATTATTTGGATTACTTTTGGTACTGCTTTTGACATTTTTGCAATAAATAAATGATTGTAATTGCATTTATCTGTCTGTCATGTTTTTCTTATACTGTACAGAAATGTTCAGGCTTATAGGTAGGAGTGGAATTAGCGACTATACATATACATACAACAGGCTACATTGTTACTAAAATGGTTATTTTCCTGCATATTTCGGTCATTTGCGTTTTATATCCTTTTATATTCGCTATAAAATGGGTATGTTAAGGTTTGGAGGTAGGTTAAGGGGTCTAAAAATCTAAATTGCTTATTGATAAAATGAAAAAAAAAATGCATTGATACGAATATCTTAATGATATATAAGATACGTAAATATTTTTACGTTTTTTAGCTAAAAATACGTAGCGATTTGTACGTTTTAAACGTTGAAATACGTATAAATTGTACGTTTTAGCATTAATAAAAACATACAAAAGTGTACGTTTTGTGCTTGTAAATGTTACATGTTAATACCTACGTATAAACATGAGACCAGGCTGGAATTTTCTGCTATGCATAATGACGAATGCATGACAAGGTATCAGACTATTCCTCCATTCTTCAGATTTAGAGGTCTATGCTAATGGGCTCTTCTCATCAGGTCATCCCACAGGTTTTAAATGTTAAATTCAGAATGATGAAAAGGCATGCCATGACCTCTTTAAAAGTTGAAGACTAGGCCCACTTTGCACATATTTACAAAGGGTGACAACATTTCTGTAGGACACTGTACATTTTTGTTGTCTTACCCATGAATGTCTTCGGATTTTTTGTTTTGCTGGTCTCTAGAATGTTAAAGAGAAAAACAAAGTATAGAAGAAAATTAATTAAATGAATATAAGTCTTGCTAATCTGTAAAGATAAAAAACAGAATACCTGATGTTCCTTCTGCACCACGTTCAAGCAATAAATCCTTTACACTGGCATCAAAACCCTTTTGAGTAATCTCATCTACAAATCAGTTGTCTGAGAGTTTTGTACACCTTCAACTTTTCCATATTTCTGTTCTGAAAGACGTTATAATACAATAATGATGTTAGCATATTACCAGTGGTGGAAATTTTTGAGATTCACTGAGGTGTCTATAGTTTGGGGGAAGTGGGGAGTGGGGGTACTTTCAATTATCTTTTAGATCAGGGATGGGCAACTTCAAGAGTGACAAGGACCAGCATTTCTTCTCCTTCAGACCAAGGGGCAAGGTCAGGGCCGTCACTAGTACTACTCAATTTCCTTTTTATTAAGGGAAATCAATGTATGTAATTCGTTTTTAAAGGTTTTATTATTAGGTATTTATTATTTAAATTTGTAACAAACAAATGTACAGAGGTCATATTTTAGATTACTAGCCAACAGAACATTCTCAACACAACCTCAGAGAACAGTTAAAAATGGCTTATTCATAAAATAGTTATTAGAAATGGTATTACAATAATCCCACATATTACCATATATAAAACTATATTAAAGAACATGTATGCATTTGGCAAAAAAGTTTTGTTGACGAAAATTAACCACAGTTTTATACTAGTAAAACTAATACAAGTGCAACTCTGGCGTCACTGGTGTATCTTTCATACTTCTCTTTGTGAGCAGGTGTGTAATTAACATTAAGATCTTAATTAAAATCTTACAATTTACATTAAAATCTTTCCTTTTGTTTCCAAACAAAACAAACATATATAGGTGTCCTTGAACTTTGTAAAAAAAATAATCCGTTTACCGTCTTGACTGAAAAACACGATTTTCAATGTCAATTTTTCTTTTTCTTTTTCTTTATTTTAGTACACTTTCACATTAGGGTGCACTTCTACTACTACTACTACGGGGATCGGCTGGAAACTAGCGACCTCTCCTTGTTGGATTTAGTATTAACATCATAATCTCAACTCAATTTTTCCATTACTTACCGTTTCACGTTTTACAATTGATCATCCAAGTCGTCCAGCGGGCCGTATTTAAAGAAATTGCGGGCCGCCAGTTGCCCATCCCTGTTTTAGATGTATGTACATATAAAAAAAACTGCTATTATCTACAATGACATAAAATAATTACTTATTTTCCTGCCCATATTACTCGCTTTGATTGGCCTAGGGCGAGGTAGCTGATTAACTGACTAATTGTACTGTTTTAAAAATGTTTATATAATACAATCACATTTTAATCAAGCAGCCTAACTGTTAATAGCTCGAAAGAATTCGTTTTAATTTTACTACAGTTTGCCAACATAAAAGCTGGCTTCTGAGTCCGTTTCGTCTGATGCCTTTTTGTCTGAGTCCGTTTCGTCTGATGCCTAATTGTATGAGACCTGACACCTGATGTCGTTTTTCCTGAGAGATGAAGCTTTTCAGTCTGAGGCGCGCGATGCCGTTTTGTCCAATGAATGAAGCCTTTTAGTCCGAGGCATGACGCCTTTTCATTTAATGACTGAGGTCTGAGGATGTCCTAAAATGTACACCGTATCATCGTTTACACTCCCACAAGTTGTTCCAAACCTGTAATAATGTCTTTCATCTGTTGAACATAAAAGAAAATACTTTGAAGAATGTGGGTAACCAAACAGTTTCTGGTCCCCAATGACTCTGATAGCATTTTTTCTCTACTATGGAAGTTACTGAGGACCAGCAGCTGTTTAGTTACCCACATTCTTCAAAGTATCTTCTTTTGTGTTCAACAGAAGAAAGAACTTGCAGGTTTAGAACAACCTGGGTAAATTATGACAGAATTTTAATTTTTGGGTGAACCATACCTTTAAAGTGACAGACACATCTGTGCTTCATAACCCTATTGTTTTATGAAATTTTGGATAGTCTTTTAGAGCTTGATATACATAATTATTATATTTTTAGACATTATTAGACAGATTAATGAATAGATTATAATTAATGTTGGACCCTATTTATTAATTTATAATTTATATTAATCAAAAATATATGCATAATAAATAAGCATATATGTCATATACATTTTGACATTTAAAAAGTTTTACAAAAATGCTAAATTATTTAAAATTTTATGTAGTTCTAATTTAAGCAAATGAATAAAAAAATGAAATAAAAATTAATCTCATCCAGGTAACAGCTGCAGAACTGTAAAAAAAATTATGAATTTACATTCATGAGCATGTTTTCTCATGGTGTATTGTTGAGCTATGAGTTCCTCACTGATTATTTGTGTCCTTCTCTTTTTTTTTTCTCTCCTCCCTTACAACTGAAATTACTCTTCATTAATTTTAAACTCTTGAGATAAGTTAGCTCAGGAACCAGAACATTATTTACTTTAATAAAATATGTTTGCTAAAAATGACAACCACCTAATTAGCCACTCATTTTCTTTGTTCATGCATAGGGCTTTTATTTTGAAGTTACATCATAACGGCTCTCGAAGAAACCCCTTTCTACATGACTTGTTCTTGTTTGTTTTGGCTCCGAATCTACAAGACAAAGAAACAGGATACAGCAAGTTGGTGAGTGAATAATCTTCCTTTTTTTTTTTTTTTTAATAACTAGCCTGTTTCTATTCATTTTTACTACACAGGAATTAATTTAAGATGGTAGATCTAGTAATTGCCATAAATTATTCAAACTCTATGAAATAGCCTATTTCAAAAAGGAAAAGGAATATACTACACTGCCGATTCTGTCATTCATGATTATTATTTAGGAGCCTACACGTTGTAGGCCTAATACAGAATTTCTAAATTGTTATTAGAAGCAGGATTTCAATTTTATTATTATTATTATTATTATTTAATGAACATGGACTGGAAATAGGGTTGTCTAAAATTTACAAGAACGTATGTTGTCACGCAACCATGAGAAAAATAAATGCTCTCCAAATTCTTTAGCAAACTTTTGTTACCCTTTTTCCTTGTTTTGAACATGTTTCTGGTCTGTTAGGCATGTCCACAGTTTCGATTTCCACAGAAAACAGATAGCCTACTACCATTTCTTATAACGTAAAATAACTTACATTACTTAATCTTTCTTTAAATAACGTAATATTTTTTATTGTACATCTAATAGTAATCTAATAGTTTTAGCTGAGATACATGAATTTAACCCTTATCATGAAGAGATACATTGATTTAACCCTTGTCATGAATATCTGAATGTTAATTTGGCTGTTAGGTAGGCTACAAATACAAACATTTTTGTCAACTTCCTGAGCACCGACACCATTTACCCTGGCCTACTGTTTTATTTATTTATTTAGGCTATTTCGTTATTCTTTTGTGTGAGTGTTTTTTTATGTGAGGATGTTTAGTAGGCTAAGGCTAATAATTACCAAAGCAGCTTTTTACCTCATGTAAGTAGGCTACGACCTGTAGAATATGTTGGTAATGCTGATCACAAACTGAATTAGGTAAAAAACAAAACATTAAGCCATTTCCTGTGGGCTATGATATTTGTATTTCCAGCAGGCACTCGAGATGTTAGAATCAAGCGGCAACCTCCCGCTCTCTCTCGTGAAGCCAGCAAGGAAGTGACTTAAACTGTAATTCATCAACTGGCCGGTAGAGGCTGGCTGCAAAAGGGAGTCAATCCCATAGACTCCCCATGTTAAAATGCCCAACTTTACATCAGAAAAAAACATGTTTACAGCCTGGTTCAAAAAATGATTTTGGTCTATATAGCTAATTTTGCCCTTCATGACAACTGTGAGGGGGGTGAATTTTTTTATAACTCATCCGTTTAAATTATATTAAGCCTTAAAGTTCTGCATAATTAAGGGCGTGGCCACTTGAGTGACAGGTGGATTGCCGCTGCTGTCACCACCGTCGAGCTAGGTGGGCGTGGCTTCACCAACCTGCTCCCGCCTCTTTGCCCATTTTCGATTATCCGGGAGTGACGGGCGGTGACGCGCTGCCAAGATGGCGACGGCCGGCTCCGCCCACTTTTGAGCTTCAAAAACGCTCTTCTGAAATCTACGGGTGACGTCGCGGACACTACGTCCATGTTTTTATACAGTCTATGGTTAGAATGCTCAACCGTGTGCGCGTGAGATAACGGCAGAAGGAAAAAGTGCGGAATCTTCCAGATTTTGGCGCTTGCAAGGTGACATTTTTTTTCCGGTGACAACAGCGGCCGTACTTAACAAGAATGAGTTCGAGAATCAAAGTCTTTTTTTTTTTTTACGAATTAGATATTATGAAAATGCTTGAACTGCCGGTACTTTACAAAGCGCAAACATTTCAGTTAACTTTTTGCGTCAGCTCGGGTCATCACAAATAAAAGTTTAATTCTAAATGGTGGCAATTATAATTCAGTTAACGTTAGTTGTTAGTATAGGCCTATGTGCCCTGGGAAATATTAAACAAGAGATGACTCGGATTCATTACTTTTTTCCTATTGTACGTTATGTTGAGTTTAATATGCTTCAACCCGACTCAGTTAATTAGAACTGTTTAATGTATTCTTGGAAAAATGTGCATCTGGACATACATTTTGTCATTTTTAAGTGATTTGGTGATTCGAGGGAAGCTCAAATGTAACTTTACCGGGGACTGTTAGCCTGCAGTTTTGATAGCATGTAAATGAAGACATACCAGTCTCGGCCGTTTTGAGAAGTGATAGATCACAAACATCGTAACAAAGGCTATTTACAGACATCATGAAAACGATGGTGAAAAATAGGCTATTTCTGGAGAACATGCTTGATTGTCATAATTCAGATCTCAGTCTTTTTCTGTTTTAAAAATAACTTTTTTTTTGGTTGACATACAAGAGTTGCCTTGAGTATTTGTCAAAAATATTACATATAAACTGGAGAATGCTAACATGATAAAATATACAACATTTACATTCTTACAGTGCAACAAGTCATCACATTCCCATTTCAGAAGTGATTTCATCTCATAAACAGCTTTTCTCAACCTTGAAAGAATGTTACGTACCAATGACAGAGGACATAGCGAACTATACTATAATGGGCGGCACCTGAAGCTTAAAGAGCTCAAATGGATGCGAATACGGAATGACTACCTCTATAGAACAATCCCAGATCACCCTGAGGATGTGGAATTTCGAGTGTCATACCTTCGGCATAACACTAATCTCCAAGGATTCCTTGGCATCTGGGATTCGGAGGGATTTAAAAAGCCGACACGCAGCCACTCACCAAAACATGATCTGGTATGGTGGAGCCCAGACATTTCCAGAGGTGATATTACTAAAGCTGAGAAGCGATACCTGGATGACCAACACACTGAGACAGAAAAACCTTTCCTGCACAAGTTCACCACTTCCCCTGCCTTTTTGTCATCCTCTCGCATGGGGAACTTCCGTTTCAGCATGTCGATCCATGAGTTGTTGAGAAGTTACAAACAGCAGTTCTGTGCAGGCCAGAAGCCCAACATTCGCATTTTTGAGACTGTGGTCTATAAGCAGGAAGTGATGTATTCTATTGTGATTCATGCGCCTCGTGCATGCAAGCTGTTCTCTAAGTATCCCCTGCTCGAGGATACCCAGGATGCAGTGTGTGGGTTCCATGAAAACACCATTATCTGGCGTCCACAGGCAATGAGTAAAACACACCGTTTCAGGCTGTCTTGTAACATGAAAGCCATTCGGATACCTGTAAAAGCCAGAGAAGAGTACATGTGGGATAACATCGGAGTGGCATTCCATGTTCCACATGGAGAAATCTTCCACTTCAGCAAGGAAATTCTGACTACGAGTCTCAGACTCTGTGAGGGAGCTCAGCCAAAACTTAACACAGAAGAGTTTGTGAAGTGTGAGTTTGACGCCATCAGGCTTTAGAGTAAATATGCCAGAGTATCCATTACCTCCAGCCGGCACTTTTAGGTATTAAAAGTGACAAAATGAGCAGAAAGTTTTTGTAATCACGTATTTAGAAGTATGAAAGGTATGTGGGGGAAATATTTGTTTTTTTACCTGATTGTTTTCTATTCAGAGAATGTATTTGTCCATGCTGCATTAATAAAGCACTGATGCTGAAAAAAAAAAAGATTCTGGCCTCTGACCTGTTTTACATTAATTGTGGCTTTTGATGGAAAGGGAAAGGCAGAATTTATGGTTCTTTATCAGTTTTGCTTTGCTCCCACTGAATACCTCTCTGTTTAGCTCACTCAGCTCACAAAAGCACAGGCATGGAGCTCCTTGGGATGTTTCCAAAGCAACCAACAACACACTGCAATTTTATTTTGATAACATTTGGGTAACCTTGAACCATGTCACATTTTGTAGACTGGTTAATGAAGACTAGTGGTTAATAGTGGGAATGCAGTATGATTTACTTTGCTTTCTTTATTTGTTTTTTTTTTAATGTTAAATGCCTTTTATTCCTCTTTTAATTACATGTATTATGCTGATTAGTTTCTATTATTTTACACTGCATTAAATTCAATATCACTGCCTTTTAAAATCAGTGTTTATCCTTTATTTAGTAAAGTAAATTTAGAATAGAGTGTGTAAATTGATTTAATGAGTGGTTTTTGAATTCTCTTATCACTACTAGAAGTGATATATCTATGCACGTACATACGGTCAAGGAGGCACATATTTTCATGTTAACTGTCATGATGTCTGGTGATCTAAGTGCTGAAGGTCACATGTCAGGGAGGCCTGTCTCAAGTCTCTTTCTTTACAGTTAGTCTCGCATTCCACATAGTCCCACATTCTACTGAAGAAAAGAGTTTTATTGTTAAAACTAATATTGTATATAAGTAATATTGTTCAGACTTCTGTGTGAAAGTTTACCTTATCTCCACTGTTTTGGAAAAATGACATATAACAGCAACTCCAGGAGTGTGTGTGTGTGTGGTTGTGTGTGTGTGTGTGTGTTTCTCTTCTATCTCCCATTCTCTCTATCTTTTGTTATAGGATCCGGACTGACACCAGCAAGGTGGTTGCTGAAACCTCTGAGGAGGGGTCCAAATTCCCTTACAAGAAGATCAAACCTATGGAAATGCTGACTCTGACATGCCTGGCTCATCTTGTACTGTGTAAGAATGGTCTGACCTCTTCATTAGACTGTGCTCTGGAACAGACCCCATGCAATAAAACAATAAATCTCCAAAGCTGCATGCAGAAGAGTTCACAGATCACAGTCAGGTTTTTGCCCTATTTTCTCTGCCCACTTATCTACCAGCCCCCTCTCTCCTCTCTCTCTTTTTTTCCACCTGGGCAAGTCAATGAAAGTTCACCAAAATGCTTATATCTCAGTAATACACAGTTTTAACCCTTTCATGTTTGGTATTATTATTAATGTTCTGGTGTAATTGGAAAGATGGTCTCATTCCCATGTCAGTAGAATAGACAAGAATAAAGGTCTCAAACTATAGATAATTCTGTTCTGTTGATGATGTGCCCCTGCTAAGCTCTCTGGCAAATGTTATATCTTGCCCCAGATAAGATGTGACCGTTCCGGTCACACAAAGAGTGCCTTGCAAAATTTCCATGGAAGTTTTTATTGCTTTGAATTTATAGTTCTCTGTTTTGTTTGGGGTGTTCAAAGAGAGCTGGCAAACTGCTCAAGGAAGCAGATTGCTATGTTTCTCTCTATTGCCAGTATGCTGACAACTTTATTCTCAAAATATATGTTTCAGCTGAAAAAAAAAAAAAATCGTTAGTAACTGTTGGAATTCCCCACGTGATGTGCAGACAGGAGTGGGCCCTGTACTTACTGGATATCATTGCAATAGAATTATTAACAACTCGCATGGTTCGACAACAAGAACATTAGACACCTGAAATGTTGCCTTTAAGTCTGCATGATCATTTGTTCCTTTATTTTATTGTGGGGTCTAAAGTAATGCAAATGTATATACATTGTGTTTACATGTACATAAATATTTGTCTGCTCAATGCCATATCAAACCAGTCAGAATCAATTATCCTACAGAGCCGTTTAATATGACTAAATAATGTAACATAAAATTTGTAACAAATTATATGTTGTGAGAAACATGTAGGGCTGTTTTTTTTTTCATATAAGTAATGAGAGAGCAGTTGCTTTCTGGTCGTTTCACTTAAGGTAAGGTGTTAAAGATGTTCACACAGTTTACAATAAGCATATAAAAAAGTTCCTAACGTCTGGTAGGCGTCGATTTGCTGAGGTGGAACATTATTGGCCAAATTTGGTTTAAAACACTTTGAGTTACTTTATTTGGAAGATTTTGATCAGTTCAAGCTTTCGTTTCTGCTATTGTTCGTTTTTGAATCAGCCAGGAGGCGGGGAACGCGGTGAAAAAAAAAAAACTCCCGCGCTTTCGTTCAGTGTTTCTTTGGGGGCAGAAGAAGTACAGTCTGAAAATAGCGTATCTCTGGTAGCAGGTAACATACTTGTTGTTACGGGGGGGAAATTGTAATGTAGTTTTATATTCACATATTAATGTAATGTATTATTCATGCACGGCTTTGAACGATCGTTTTATCAGTAACGTACCACAGTTTAGCCGTCATTTTTAATATCAAGTAAATGTAAAATCGAAACTCAAAATGTTCGCCATCATTACAATCCCTCAAAAGTGTATTTATGGTAAAAATCATTCATGTAATGTTGACAATGACAGATGATGGCATATTTGTGCGACTGCTAATAATTGTTTGTTTTTAATAAAAGTTAAGTTTGTGGCGCCACCAAGACCATTTTTTAATCCGCCTTTGTCACAACCCTGAGATATACGCTGCGTCCGAAAGCTCTAAAATGCTGCCTTCGGAGGCAGCATTTCAAGGCATGAAGACAGAATACAAATTCTGCTTCACTTCCTGTCTCCGGAGGTACCTTCTTCTGATCGAATTTTGAAGGCAGCACGTTCAAAGTAAACCGTTGCACACAAAAAAAGTGTTATTTCCTCTTTTTGAATGTACACGTGTTTTTCTTCTAAAAAACGTTCAAAAGCAGAGACTGTCAAGGCAATCAGACCACCTGACTAAACCAGCAAACCTAAGTTTTTCATAGTGGATTACATTTTTGTTTTTGCTGGAAATCCTAATAAAACTATACTAGTGAGTTGCTTAGTTAGAGCTGCTATCAGTGGTTTGCAGGGTTGGGAGAGTTACTTTTAAAATATATTCCATTACCATTACAAATTACTTAATTAAAAAAAGTATTCAGTAACGTAATCCAAGTACTACAATATAAAAGTAATGTAATCTGATTACTTTTGGATTACTTCAAGTCAAATATGTAAATAACGTCGAAAAAGCAATATCAAAGTACTTTTATTTAATTATGACTTTAAAATGAAAACGATTAAAAAAGTATTTTAAAACTATTTGAAACTATTAAAAATCGTGTCTTGTTTCACCATCTAGATCAGTGATGGGCAAACTTGGCCCTTCCAGGCCACTTTCCTGCAGAGATTTGATCCAACCCTGATAAAACTCACCTGCCTGGAGCCTTCTAGTAGTCTTGAAGACAATGATTAGCTGGTTCAGGTGTGTTTGATTAGAGTTGGAGCTAAACTCTGAAGGAAAGTGGCCTGGAAGGGCCAGTTTTGCCCACCCCTGATCTAGATATTACAGCCCGGATATATATTTATATAAAAGGCTATGCAGACATCTAGTGGCTATTAGCAGTCATCCCGCGTTTGAGGAGAATAATTGTAGATGGGTGATATTTGCGCACGGTGGCTCACGTGAGTCAACATGAGTGTCAACAGAACCAGCGGCGCTAAATATAGCGTTATTATGTCAAAATACTCATTTATTTAATCTGAAATGAAACAAATGTAATCCTGATGGTATTCCCACTTTTTACAAAATGTAACTGTAATCTGAATACTTTGTTTTTTGATGTACTAGATTTTTGTATCCTGATATACAACGCAATGCCGTTACATGTATTCCGTAACTCCCCAACCTGGTGGTTTACAAGAGGAAAATGCTGAGTGACCTTGTAAAACAGATGATAAGCTAACGTTCATCTTTTTCTCTGTTTCAGAAAGAAAATGAGACGCACAAATAACCGAAATGTTACAGAGACATACTTTGAGGGACAGCATCTGAGTCTTTGGGACCTAAAAGAAATGGAGTTACGGAACGGATACCTGTATAAGAACAACATCCCTGCTTATCCTGAATCTGTGGAGTTCCGTGTACAGAAAGTGTCTCATGTCACTGGAGAAAGTGGTCTTAGGGCTATTTTTCTCGATTCAGGGTTCAGACAGCCACCGGAGCTGGTGGCTAATGATCAGCCCCATTTCCTCTGGTGGGATTTAGCAGTCACGTCTGATGACATATCCTCAGCTGAGGAGCGTTTCCTCACGTCCTTATTCCCTCATCGAAGTTCTGCCCAAGTTCGCAACCAGCCACCCGTCCTTGAGCACTTCACCAGCTCAAAGGCCTTCCAGGAAAAATCTTCCTATGGAAACTTCCGCTTCATCTTTTCACTTAAGGAGCTACTTTGGCTCTATGGTGAGCAGTTCTGTGGTGACCAAAGTCCAGTTCTGCGTGTGTATGAGACTGGGCTCTACCGGCGAGAGATTCTCTATAAGGTTGTAGTGCATCCTCGTGACATAAATCTTTATGACAGTTATCCTCGACTGCCCAATCGGGAGGACGGTGTGTGTGGGTACTATGATGGGGCTTTGTGGTGGTGCTGTCAAGCCCCCTCTGAAACCTACAAGCTGAAGCTTAAGGTGAACAAGTTGAATTGTAGTGTTCATGTGAGCCCCCACAGAGAAGAATACTATTTGTGGGATCATGTGTGTGTAGCTTTCCACATGGAGCCGGGGTGGGTGTTACGTGTGGACCGGAACAGACTGTTTAAAAGGGTGAATGCATGTGAAGTGTCTCAGCCGTGTCTTCTGAGACCTCCGGAGACTCCACTGAGTTTAAAGGAGGCTGAGTGTATACTAGCTGATCTTAAGGCCGAAATGGGCTAGGCTAAAACCACAGACCATGTAGATATTACATTCACAAGGAATTGCAAAGAATAATGATGCTATGCATGCTAGTTAGATCATTTACACCACTTGCCTTCATTAAACAGCTTAAATGCACAGCTAATAAAAATACAAAGCCTTACTTACAAAGCAACACATTTTTTCAGTGCCATATTTTTCAATCAGTGTTTAAACTGTTAAGATATATGTAGATTTTTATATTTCATATATAGTGTAAACTTGGCTACAACATCAAAACACATTCTTAGGGTGATGATGCAAACCTATGCAACAATTATCCTAACTAGTTGCAGCCTGCTGTTTTTGGCTTGTTTGATTAATTATTAATGTGCCTTTGCACTGATCATCATAATTAAAAGGATAGTTCACTAGGGCTGCACGATAAATCGAAATGAAATTGTGAAATCGCTATTAGACAGAAGCTGTGATTGTCATGCGTATCTTTCAGTGAAGCACGGTTCTGTGATCAGCAGTAAATCTCCATCCAAAGGCCAGAGGACACACGACTACGGCAATATATGGTTTATCTGAGTTCTTCTTATTATAATTTTCATGACAATAAAGTATATCTATAATGCAATGCTAATCGACATAGCCTTTATCACTACTTAGAATACTATGAAATACGTTGTGTGCCTATTTCTGTGTAAGAAGCCACATCATCTCACAGAAGGATTTATTTCAAACACTCGGCTGACGTTATGAAGTGAGTTTGGAGTAAAAACATGTTATTAAATGTGGTGTTTTCACGTGCTTTCAGATGGAGCAGCATTTACTTCACAGAGCCGTAGTTCACTGAGAAGCTACGCAAACAGCTGTCATTATCGCAAACGATTTCTTTGATTTCATAATCGTACGATTATTTAGTCTGCATTTTTTTTGTCAGAGAACTACGGATCTGTGTAGTAAATGCTTCTCCATCTGAAAGCAGGTGATGGAGATTTACTACTAATCACAGAACTGGCTTTACTGACAAGATGTGCATGACAATCGCATTAGATTAATCGTGCAGCCCTGTAGTTCACCCAAAAATGAAAATTCTGTCATTAATTACTCACCCTCGTGTCGTTCCAAACCCGTAAAACCTTCGTTCATCTTCGGAACACAAATTAAGATATTTTTGATGAAATCCGAAGGCTGTCTGACCCTTCATAGACAGCAACGCAACTGAAATGTTCCCAGACCCAGAAATGTAGTAAGGACATCGGTAAAACAGTCCATGTGACATCAGTGGTTCAACCATAATTTTATAATGGCAGAACCTTGACTTGGAGGAGAAGAATTGTTGAATAAAGTCGTTATTTTTGTTTTCTTTGCGCACAAAAAGTATTATCGTAGCTTCGTAAAATTACGGTTGAACCACTGATGTCACATGGACTGATTTACCGATGTCCTTACTACCTTTCTGGGCCTGGAAACATTTCAGTTGCGTTGCTGTCTACGGAGGGTCAGAAAGCGCTCAGATTTCATAAAAAATATCTTCATTTGTGTTCAGAAGATGAATGGAGATCTTATGGGTTTGGAACGACATGAGGGTGAGTAATTAATGACAGAATTTTCATTTTTGGGTGAACTATCCCTTTAAGTGAAGAATGGATCACATTTTAGCATTAATGTAGATGCCCAGATAATGATATAGGTTTTTTATAATATAAAATAACTTTTAAGTTTTACATATATGTTCACATTGTATTTACAGCCTCTACCATGTATTGAGTTATTTTTTACAAACTATTAAAAAAATGTTTTTACTTCTAATTTTGTCCACCAGAGGTCTATGTTGGCTAGCTGGTTAAATCGCTTTGTCACATTTTTACTAAAACCTTGCTGATATTTTCTGTCATTATTATTACTTTGATTTTGAACTGTAATTGTTTTTCTTTTAAGTATCTTTTTTTTAAATGTCATATTTTAGCCTAATATACTTAAATCTAATGTCTAATTGCACTAAAATGTCTTTTAGCTGTTTGAATCTGATCTGAATTAACATTGATCAGTGATGTTACTTAATATCAAGTTGGTCTATTGCTAAACGAATAAATATGACTATACCACAGTAGTTGGCTTCCTAGTGTTCATCTGGTTGGTAAGCAAGATTCATACATCCACACTCACATTATTTTGTAACAATGTCCAAACCTTTTTCATTTTCATGTTCCTTTAAATAGTGATAATGATAACAACAGAAATGCATTTAGCAACTGCGTCAAGGCCAGTGGCACACTCTTAATAGAAAATGACTGTAATAACAGATAAAAACAAACCAAATTTTGTGTATAATGTTTTTTATCATTAGGAAAAAAAGCAGGATTTGAGTTTATAATCTTTATTTCAGGTAATAATCTAACCTTTTCATTCAAGGCTTGGTTACAATATTTTAAAAGCTTGTAAGTAAGTGGTTTCAGCTCACTGTTTCCAGCTGAAAGCAGCAATGCCAACACCATATAAGGCCACTTGGCTCATACAGATGATGTCATCACCACAGTCCTGACTGGAGAATCTCCTTTGCCCTGTACAAAGTGTGAGAGAAAGAAAGTGAAGGAGGTGTGGTGAAGAGGAAAGAGAAAGAAGAGAACATACATTTGTAGGTAATGCTAAAATGGACTCAACTGAAGCTTGTCTGTAAGATGTTTCAGTGTGTGGCTTCCAGAGGATGAAAAGCTAGATGCTACTTGGTTTATTGGAAAAACACAAGTGAGAAAGAGAAGAGAAAGAAACGGGTGGGGAAGAAGAGTGAAGCATTGTAACAGCTGCCAGGGACTGTGACAGTGAGGGAACTACTTCACTTAGAGGAGTCTTCTTACCATGGGGAAGTCAGGTAAGTGCACAATCCACTTCTAAATCCCTGTCTCACTTAGCATTTGTGATGTTGTCAAATATATATTTTCTTCAGTCTCTGTCACTGCCATCCTCTGCTGTTGAATGAAGTTTTGTCAGCGCAGGTTGAGTATATGCCAGCTGTATGTGTGTGCTGGGGATTGTTAGCTACTCAATCCTTGCTTTGTTTAAGTGATAGCATCATGTAGTTGGATTTATGCCTTGGCAATAGTGGCAAGCACAACTGTTTGGCAACATTTGTCAAGTCTAAAAGTTGTTGCAAATGGAGCACAGATTTTGAATGTTCAGTCTTCTTTATCAAAACTAAATTATCAAAAGGACTAAAATATATTTTATGTAAATTATAGTTTGCTCAAAACAATTAAATGTAAGTATTATTTTTACTTTTAGCAGAAATACTTTTCGAAATGTTGTTATCAGAAATATAGGCCTACTGAAATTTTATTCTCACAAAGGACCTAAAATCTGACTGAGGGCTGTGTAAATGTTGCATTACTGTGTATCCAACTACAGTATGTTAAAATAAAATCGTCAAATTCACCTATATTCTCTACATTTCAATGCAGAAAAATAAATAAATAAATACATTTGCTTAAAATTAAGATATGCTTCAAGGCTTGTTTTCCCCCGTTTTCCCCACTCAAATGGCATGGTGAGCCAAATGAAGGGACATCAAGGGCCCTGGTTTGGACATCTCTGTTGTCAAACTAGTACTAGCCTTGAGTAATAAATATTTTAGACTGTATGTTTGAGTTTAGCAAAGAGTAGGAAAAAATGCAGCACTTTCTAATCTCTTTCTATTGATTCACTGTTGATATTGCAGCCTCCAGGCTTTTTTGTGAGGAGGTACTGAAGACTCATAATGAGTACAGGAGAAAACATCAAGCCCCACCTTTAAAACTCAGCAGTAAACTGAGCCGTGAAGCAGCACGGTGAGATCTTTTCTTTTATATGCTTGCTCTACTCTTTGCTGTTAATTTCTTATCTTTGACATTGCTTTCGTCTTTACTACAGTTTAATGCTCTTCAATGAATTGTAGATATGCTGAGAGCCTTGCTAGCACCAGGATTCTGAAGCACAGTGTTGAGTCTAGTAGAGGAAACTGTGGAGAAAATTTAGCATGGGCATCTTATGATCAAACGGGTATGAATCCTCTTCTTCTGTTTAAAAATGTCCATCTGAAACACATTTCCATGGATGTAGGAGTACAGACTGCCGTCCTCTTCTCTTTGCAACAGCTGGGACTCATTATGAATGGACTACCTCCATGTTCAGTCTAAAGTTGATTACTAGGTAGATTGGAATGTCTGGCCAGTCTGGGGTGATTTGTAATGTGTCACCAAATGTATAGTGTGTCATGTAAAGCTTCAAGTTGTACCCTGGAATCTCCAGTTGGATTTACTGTAATATTGTAATAATTAAACAACCAGATTGCAAATACACATTCTACAGAATAAGGAATTTGGGATTATTTGAATTTAAACTTCATAATTCCATTTCAAATGAGAATCTCTGTGCATGTTTGTGTGCCGACAGGTAAAGATGTGTCAGATCGCTGGTATAATGAAGTGAACCAGTACAACTTCAACCAGCCAGGATTCTCCTCTGCAAATGGTAAGAGTATTTCCAGCAGTGGCGCTCCTTGAGATCTACTTACCTGCAACGTTTACTTCCAGTTCTTATCAAACACACCTGAACCAGCATCTTAAGGTCTTTATGTGCGGTAATGCTAGACTTTGTACTTCATTCACTCACATTCCATAAGAACCTGACTGACTAAACTGCCCAAAACCTCCCTAAAACCAGTCAAATGACCAGAAACCAGAGCAACTAAAACCTGAATACCAGATTCGCCTGGTTTAGGATGTTCTTTTTAGCAGAGAAAGAATGTAAACATTTATTAACCTCTTGGCTAAGTACTCAGAAAAACAAAATTGAAATCTAAATGGTTTGCAGTGCTTCAGGAAAGTAGAGTGGATGGCATATTTTAAAGTCAGCATGAAATCAACATTTATCCTATTAGCACACATACTAGTCAATTAATGCATGCATGTTAATCCTCAGAAAAATGTGTTTGTCTTTGTAATCTTTAAAATCGGAAAAGTTCCTTATATGATGATGTCAGCTTGACCGCTTGAGCAGAACGTCCTTAAACAGTACCCTCCACATCAGTATTCTGTGGGCTAGAGATGGTGAGGATGTGCACTAAAATCAAGCCCCACCCACTATTTTTTCCTCAGTATCACATTACTAATAAGTTGGTCACAACTTTTGCATTAGTTTAACATTTACTGATGTATTATTTCTAATTTATTTACTTAAAACAGAAGCACTAGTGAGTGACATCCTGTCCTGTTGTGTCATCCGAAATAATTTTGCATTGAACTAAAATTTGCAGGTAGGCCTATGTTGATTTCCATTAACAGGACAGCGCACCGTTTTTATATTCATAACCCGTTTTATAACCAAATATAATACAAACACATACAGCAGATAAGTTTGGCCCAGACAGTGTAATACAATATTCTTCAGTATTTTTTAAAATGTGTAAGATGTGACTCATCCTATTGGAATGAAGCTTTCCAAAGCCCTCCCAGGCACAGGAAATTCCCCATAAAATTAAGCTATGAGAAATCTCTTACAGTGTGATGTCTCTCTTACAGCTGTTAACTCACCCCCTTTAGTTTTTATTCACCTCACCGGTCATCAGCTTCAGCCTGCAGGAAATGAGTAATACTAGCCACCACCTCAAGAGGGCAGAACGCTTTTGATAGAGCAGGGGTGCCCAAACTCGGTCCTGGAGGGCCGGTGTCCTGAAGAGTTTAGCTCCAACCTCAATTAAACACACCTGAACCAGCTAATCAAGCTCTTAATAGGCATACTAGAAACTTGAAGACAGGTGTGTTGAGGCAAGTTGGAGCTAAACTCTGCAGGACACCGGCCCTCCAGGACCGAGTTTGGGCACCCCTGTGATAGAGTCACAATTCTACAGCAGCTGATCCGAATTTTTTTGAAGTGACTGACTGTATAGATTGTGTATATTGTCTGTACTGACTCTAAACCTTTAAATATGTGGTTGGGAATTTAGGAAAGGGTGTTCCTGTAACTCAGTTGGTAGCATATGGTGTTGTCAACATCAAAACTGTGGGTTTGATTCCCAGGGGGTTAACACAAAGTGATGAAATCACCAGTAATTAGCTTTGGATAAGCATTTGCCAAATGCATAAAATGTACTTGAGTCTCTTATTCCACTCAAATGTTTCCACTCGGTCTCTCAGCTTATAAATATTTAACTGAGCACTAACACAAGCGCCACAAGGTTTATGTGTCAAACAAGCATAAACACTTTGTGACAACCACACATCGCTGCAATGCACACCAATGAATGAAAGAATCATTGTTTTGTTCTAGGTCACTTCACTGCAATGGTGTGGAAAAGCTCAACGAAACTTGGTGTTGGTAAAGCTGTGGCCTCAGATGGTTCTACCTTTGTAGTGGCACGTTATTTCCCTGCCGGCAACATTACCAATCAGGGCCACTTCCAGGCCAATGTCCTGCCCCCTAAAAGCTGATCCAAATGTAGCTGGACACAATGAGAACGAAGGTAGGGAGGGGAACTGAAACAGGACGGGGAACAGCTGAAATCGGAGAGACTTTTACCTGGAGGACCAAACACAGTAATTGTTGGCCTTAATACACAAACCTTACTTGAATAAAGAGCTTCTGTCTTTACATTTTTAGGCTTTTATTAACTTGAATATAAAGAGGCTTACAGTAAACTAAATGTTGAAGCTAATGCTAGTTATGCTTTCCATAAAACTAAACTTTCATTGTGGTAAGGTCATTGTGTGCCTGTTTGTGCATGGGTGATGTCAACAAAACAGTATTAGAAATGATTTTTTATGAATAAAGCAAACACGGATATAATCACATACCTCCACTAAAATCAAATGTGAATATTTCTTTTGGATGCAGTATTCATGCTGAATGTGAAAAGACGTGTGTGACCACACAGGACATTTAAATGCATGAGATGTTGCAGAAATAAGTTTTGGTAATGTTCATCCCTTTATATCATAGACTGATCATTCACCATTATTACTTTGGTCATCTTTGTATCTATGTATATTGATATGGATTAAAATTGACCGTGTTCAAATAGTCTATCTGATGTCATTATTGCATTCAAAATGGAGTACAAATATTATCTTTGATTTGTAGTTGCACAACTGTGCACATTCCATGTAATTTGCGCAAACAATTACAACTTTAAAACATGCTAAAAACAGGCTTCTATAATAAATTTAAGTGGAATTTTAGTGCCATGTGAACTATTTATGCTTGCAAGATAAGATACATATACCCCAGGGGACAGTAAAACAAAAAAAAAACAACTTCAGGTCAGATTCAAGCCATCAGCTTTGAGGACATGAGCATTTATTTCTACAATCCTCTGATCTACCATCTGAGCCATTAAGGCAATATTAAAATTTGTTCAAAATGTATAACGACAAATTTTTGTTTGTAAGGTGCATTTATATGATTCGTAGATAATGTTGGGAAACGAACAGCTCTGGTTGTAACGGATTTATTTCAGCAGGAGTTTGGGCGGCGCAATATAGCAGCATTACTTAGGGAAGAAAACACGCAAGGGGCGGGGAAGAAGTCTTTTCCTCTTTTACATGGTCAGCTCCTGAGAATAGACACAAAAGATGAAATATAAATAGCAATCAAAGGGTTTGCTTATATTTGTGAGCCATCGCTGTGTTTACAGGAACTAAATGACTGAAAATGCCCTCACAAACATCGTAACACCTCAAAAACAAAACAACAAAACTTGTTTTAACAGCAATCACTTATAATAAAAAAAAAAGCCTAATAAAGGGACTAAATTGTTTTCACAGTTAAAAATGCCAAAAAATAGGGTTTGGGTTAGTTTGTTTACTTAATTTAAGAACAATAAAATGTCTATGTGAGGTCCAATATACACTATTTTGTATAGAGTCCTCTACTAGACTATTATAGTCCCGTTTTTATAGGATTTTGAATTAGAGGGAATATAGTGTCAAATTAGTCATTACACTGAATGTACAAATGCTGAATGGCTAATATAAAAGCAATCACTCACCATAATGGCATTGACGATGTCATTCTTGTTGTGGCGCAGTGCACGGACTGCTTTAGCTCGAGACACGTTGGCCTGTGCCATTACCAACTCAATATCTCTCTGCTCCAGCCCACCCTCATCCAGCTTACAAACAGACAAAGAGAATATGGTTCATCTTAATTTAGCTGCTTTATTAATTCAAACATATTTCTAAAAGGAAAAGGCCATCCAAAAATGGTGTCATTATTTACTGACATTATTTCATCACAGAAAAAAGAAAGACAAAGGTTTGGAACGAGATGAAGCTGAGTAAATGATGACAGAATGTTTATTTTTTAGGTCAACTATCCTTTAAATGGAGGAAATGAAAGATTTATACCTCCTCTTCTTCCTCGCTCTCTTCTTTTATTGTCAGGCTTGGTGTGATTTCTGTCGGCAGAGGTGAGGGGTCAAGAGGAACCTTAAATTTCTCTGCCGCTGCCTTGTGTACCTGTTGTGACAGGTCTTCAATCTGAGAAGAGACGGACAGAAAGCACAGATGAAGATCAATGAACAGATATAAATATTTAAATATTCATCTTGCAATTGGAAATCTGTGCCACTGTAGCCAGATTTTTGGAAGGTATCCTTGCATATGCAGTAAGAAACAAAATGATGGGAAAATACTAACCTTGGCCTCTCCAAAGACTATGTAAATATCCGAGGCAGGGCTTTTGAACACATCTGGACGTGTAATAACAAAGAGAATATTCTTGGACTTCCGAATGGTAATGCGTGTCACTCCGTGGATCTGTTTCAGCCCGAGCTTTGACATCGCCTTGTAATGATAACCACATGGAGGAAGAGACAGTAGGTCAGGGACTCACAATACAGTGAGTCTTAAAACGGCATGAAACTGCATTTGCAGTCCTACCTTTCGTGCTTTTTTCTCACTTCGACTCTGTTTGGCTCTGCTCACTGACTCATCAGCAGGAGAGTGTGAGAGCTATGAAAAAAAGAAGATATGAAGGATAAAGAGAGCATAGTAGGACCTAACATTGTTCATACAATAGACTCAACTAGACTCAAAAGTGCAAAAATAAAATTTTTTTTAGCAATGATGTATGCACTCAAGTAACTAATTGCTCTGCTGCACTCAAGTAACTAATTGCTGCTTGTTCAGTTTACTTAATTTTAACATTTATACTAGCTGTCCAGTTCCACTTGTGTTATTTTTTTAAATCAAGATAAAAAAAAGCATTTAGTGTTATGTTATGTGCATGTTGCTTTACTCACACTTTACACGACAGAGGTTACTTTATAAACAAAGTAGCATTAGTATGTTAACATGCACTACTGCTATGCCGACTAGTAGTTAATGGTAAGATACGCAACTGGTATAGTTTGACATGTAATTTTGAGTTTTATTCAATTCACTCAAGATTACTCATGAATCTACAGCCCACCTGTGGATTTGAGGGTCTCAGCAATGTCCCACTAGGTTCCTCTAGCTCAGGTACTGAGCCATCACTGTCTGTTTCATTACCTGAACCTACTAAAGGAAAGAAAAACAAATAAACACTAAAATTGCTTTGCTAGAGACTATAAAGAAGGTACTTGAGAAAGATGCTGATGCCTTATGGCTAAAACAGATGATGAACATACTATTGTTTTTGAAGGGGAGATCCAAGTCCTCTGGGCCTTTTGATCTGTAGCTAATTGGGTACACGTCTTGCTCTATGCTCTGTCGCTCAGCTTGCTTTGTTTTTATGAGGGAGTCTGGTCTTGGACTGAAGCAGGGGAGCATATCTCTTTCATCTGACTGATTCAGTGTTCTTTGGGCATGGTTACTGTCTTTTTGTCCAGTGGATGTTGTGGACTGGGACTGTTCTGTTCGGTGTCCCTTGCATACTACTCAAGAAAAAAAAACACATGACATGTCTACAATTAAATACTAATGATTCCTAGGATGAAACAAACTCAACAACTAAGGAAACAAACAAAAGTTTACCTGGAGGGTTCTCATGTCTGCATGGTTTTGCTGTCATGACTGTTCTCTCACTTTCATGATCACACGTGTCTTGAATACGAACCAAAGTTGGTGTTTGTTCCTCTGTTTCCCATGCTGCTGATTCCAAACTGGTTATTCCAGGAGTCCGGAAGGGACTTTGATAGTCAGGTTGGTTGGGTTTGTTGTCTGGAGCTGTATGTGAGAAGGCAGCAGATGTTTGGGAGATGTCATGAATGGGCTGTGACTCCTGAACGGGATTAGAGAGATCTTCCTCCTGGACAACTGTGGATGAACATGTTGGAGAGACCCTGTCTTGTTCTGAGCTGTCCACCCTGAGGGATGAACTGCCCCCTATGTGATTGTCATTGATGTCTCTTGTGCTTTCTGTCAAACTTACTCTGCTCAAAGAACTGTCTGGAAGTTCTTTCTGCCCATCTGGCCTTGTAAGGTCTGTTGTCTGAGATACAACCACTGACTCGGTATGAACAGACTCTTTTGGATCAATATAGCTAAGGTCAGGGGGGTGAAAAATTGATTGTTCTGGTGTTTGATCAAGTTCAGTGTTCTCCGTTATAGAGACATCCTCTTTCTGCTGAGTTTCACCAAATTCCTCTCTCATTGAAAATCTATCAAAACTTGGCGCTTGATTACCTGTATTCTCCATTTCCTTTCCTTGGCACTGGATCTTTTCATTGTCCATTGAAGCTAAATCTGCAATGCTGGTTTTAAGGACATCAATTACCTTTGGTTTTGTGCCATGACCTGAATTAGCAATCTGTGCTGTTTTTGGTGTTGCCTCATCACTGTCAGCTTGAGAAAGACCTGATTTATGTGAATCATCATCAAGATTTTTGTTCTGCTCCAGAAATGAAACATTCTCTGTAAAATCTTGTTCTTCTCTCTTTTGACATGTTTTCAGTCCCTTGTTTCCCTTCTCACGGGAGTCTGATTTATCTATCTCCTGATCCTGAGCGTCAGTTGTAGTCTCTTGTTCAAGAAGTTGTCTGTCAGTGGTTTTAGCTTCATCAGTTACGGTTTCATTTTTGATGTGTGCTCTTAACTGAATTACTTTCTCCCCCACAACCTCATTTGAAGACCCATCATAGGAATTTGTCTCTTTATGTGAGACAGAAATCTGTTGGAGAATTGTTAATTCTGAGGAGGTCACAATCTTTATATCAGTTGGTTTCTTTCTGAATGTGAAGGTGCCAAACGATCCTCCTTGCAAGTTGAATGTGAGCTTGTTTTCCGAGACAGAGTCAGTGTTTCTAAAGGTAATCTGTTGAGAATTTGAATGCCCCTGATTTAAAACTGGACCAAGATTATCTAATTGGTTAGAAATGACTGTTTTTGTAGAAGATTCACAAAGATCAGTGTGTTCTAGGGAGATGGTTGCTGTTAATGTGACATTATCAGGTTCTTGACAAGATTCCAGATCCTGAGACTGTTCAGAAGTTATTTCATCACTTTCCTTCTTTAATGTGTCTGAAGATAAATCCTCTGGAATGTTGAAGTCTGTATTTGGAGTTTGATCTTTCCCATCTTTCCCATCATCTGAAAGCATATTCAATGTAAGGTCTGATGGAGCACTCAGGATTAAGGGCGTGCAAGTTTTTTCTGGATCATTCCACGATGGCAGCAGACCCTTATCAGAACTGCAATGTATAATCGGATTGCTCTCTGGATTTTGAAGGTTATTTGCATCATCCTCACCCCCTCCTGCCTCTGAAAGATCTTGAATCGATCTCCAGCTGGCAATGTTTGACTCAACCACACCAACATCAATGTCTGCCATTTTCTCTTGGAGGTCACAATATCGGTTGTTGTCCTCATCATCACCCATGTTGTCTTCTCCAGTGGCAATGTTATGAGCGACTGGCAAACCTTTACTGTGCACTGATCTAGCTATCTCACACATGAGCAGATTTTCAGCCTCAAAGTCACAGCGTTCACCTAAAGACAAGGGATCCCTTGGTGTCCAACTGTCAGGGTAAAGTTCCCTTTCTGTCATACTGCTCTCAGAGTTCTCTTTCTTTGGTGAAATGACAAGTCTGCTGTATGTGGAGCAGGACATATTTTGAGAGCTATGGTTTACATCATCATTGCCAGGTTGATTCTCTGTCAGATTATCTTGATTCATGGAACGTTCAAATGGTAAAACATCTGTTGATGTTAAGTTATCTGGCACCTCACATAGTTCAGGATAGGCACAAACTGGAATGTTTGTGGGGCTGCAGTCATCCAGGTATGTTAGTTGGGGGACTCCTTTATTTAGGTCATTGGTTGCAGTTTCTGCTAACTGCAATGATGTGTCCAACTCCATACTATTTCCATTTTTCTGATCCAATTCCTGGCTATCATCTACGTTAGTCTCGATGTCAGCAGCTGTAACACCTGCCACGCAGGAATCAATGGAACTATTATTTTGTTCTACTTTGTCTCGATCAACAGATAATGTTGGATCATCTGTGGCAATCTGCTGTCCTTTCTCTGAAGTTACCGTGACTGTTGACGGATCTGTACTCTGTTTGCCTTCCTCATCAGTTGTTTTGATCTCTGCAGTTGATTCTTTTGAAAGCTCACCCTTCAGCAACTTTGTTTCTGAAATTTGTTGTGCGATTACACTTTCACCATGAACACTGCAGTCTGCCAGATTCCCTTGCAGTTCTACACGTAGAAGCTCAGATGATCTGGAGGATATCTCAATTTCACTTTCACTGCCAGAAGATTCAGGTTTAGCATGGCTTACTGACTGCACAGGTTCATCTGGCCCAGGGAACTGTTGGGAGAGTTCAGCATGCTTCTCTGTGCAGTACAGATGGTCATCTTCATCCCCGTTATAAGACGTAGAATTAATTGAGTCCTCAGTTTCATCCTGATAAGCAAAGGACTCATCTACACCGTCGTTTATGGAGTTCTCTGAAAGGGAATTTAGGAAAGATGCAGAGGTGTCATCTTCATTTGGGCCTTCCACTTCCCTTCCAACCCTCCAAGCTGCCTCTTGTTGCTCTGCCTTGTCATTATCCACATCTTCATCATCACACTCCTCTTCATCATCCTCATCATCATACTCATCTACATCGGCTTCCTCCTCTCCAGCAGCATATGCATCCACATCATTCCCCTGCTCATCATCAGTGGGGAACAGGGTTATATCCATGGAATCTGCCTGGATTATCAGGCTTCCATGGAATGGCAACATAGAAGCAGGAATCATTGCATCACTCTCAAGCCCATCCTCTCTAGAATAGCCATGGAACAGAGGAGCAGAGGAACCTATCTCGAGATATAAACTATTACTGCTATTACTTTTTATGTCTACAGTATCTGGACAGTGGGAGACAGGGGTTTTACTCTCTGTATCCAGTGCTGCAGCTGCATTATTGTCTGGTGTTAGGGAGCGATCCAGGCTCACCGATGGCTCTGAGAAACAGGCATTGAAATCCATTTCAAGACTTTGATGTGGATCACTAAAAGCCTGAGTTGCATCAGGGGCTCTCTGGAAATCGCTAGGCCTCAGAGAGCCCACAGACACCACTGTGTCCTCCTGGCAGTCTGTTCTTCGCATGATGATGCTGCTCTCTTGTGTGGAATCATGTTCTGTCACCCAATGAGGACTACAGGTGTCCCTTGTTAGTATATCCACTTCACAGGCCACATCTTCCAGCAACTCTGGCAAATCAGGTTTACCCAGACAAGCATCCCTCTCGTTACCAGTTCGATCATCTCCAAGCTCGTCGCCAATCTCTGAGAGGGACCCCACATAGCAAGCAGGAGCTTCTTGCAACTCTGCCTCAGCTGTTAAGTTTGGAGAGCATGAGTGGGAGGTGCTGGAGGTGTATGAAGTCCAGCTGCCTCCCTCAGCAGTCATGTAGGAACCAGAGGGAGAGGTAGGAGGGGAGCACAGATCAGACTCATCAGTTGGGGAACCTGGACTTTGGCTTGGGCTCCCTGGGCGCCATTGTTGCTTGAGATGTGAGCAGTAAGCCATCTTAATGGGGGTGGAAGGGGCTGTATAGTAGCGATCAGGATCCAGTCCTGGAAGGACACCAATACGTTGTGGGTCAACAACATAGGGAGGCTCGGAAAATGACAAGGAAGGCACTTCACCCTGAGATAAAGACAGTGGCTCTCCCTCATTGTCTGGGAAAAGAGTACTGCTGTCTGTCAATTCAGCATCTCTCACTTTGGACTCTAGGATTTGACATTCAAGTATCTGACCTATGCATTTCTCTTGTTCTGGAACTGAAGTCAAACTCTTAGCCTGATCTACAGTAGAACTCACCTGACCAGTGTCTAGTTTTGCGTTTTCATCTAGCCCAATATGACATTTCATGGAAGGCTCTGAGGGCTGGTGTCCTGAACTAGGTGTTTCTTGACCTATCTGCCTTCCTAGCAGCACTCCACTTTGTGTCTCCATGTTTCTCAGCAATGCCTCTTGCCCCATTACCACCCTTGAGTCCATGGTCTCTGGCTCTTGAAAGTCACTTTCTATTTCTGATCCAGTTAGGACTTTGATCCGTTCCATTTTCATAGGACCTCGTCTGCAGGCTCCTCTACCAAACCGCCCTGTTGGTCGGCCGATATTTCCAGAATACCCTTCTAATTCAAAACTTGCACCCTCAGGCTGTGGGCGAGGAAAAGTGGTTGGTTTGGCCATTACCAGGCGGGGTCCAAAAGGAGTACATAGTGGGGAGAGTTTTGGAGGGCTGCTGGGAGAAGGACTGGAGACACTGTCTGTTGGAGTTGAGGCTGAAGAGCTGGATGTTTGACCAGACAGAGCTAAAAGATTAAAAGAAAAAGAATGATTATATTTTGTCTCATATATAAAAAAAATGTATAGATTTAGTATTGAGGTTACACATTTCTGCATGAAAATTTCTTTGGCAAAGAAAATCTTTATACTGTTTTTTTTTTTTACAGAAATCATTAACATCCTGACAATATAGTATAATATAAAAATCCTTTTTGAAAAAGAATTCTGAAATGACATCAAACTTCAAACAGCCAGCTGATCTCTTTTTATCCATCTGTCTAGCCCCAAACATGAATAGTATTGCCACTTAAATGTCACTGTATGAAATATTCAATACAGCATTGCAAAAGGTCATCTGAACTGCAGATTCATTTTAAGTGTTTTAAAATGAACTGTATGCAATAAATCCAGCAAAACAAATGAATTTAATTTCACAGGATATGACAACTAGCAGCACTATCCAAAAGTAGTGTAATATATAGGGTGGGATAACATTACATGCCAAAACATACTTATGCAAGTTCTAATACCATAGCCATTTGGTACGAGTGTTTCTACATAAACTTTCACAAGTATTCAATAAATTTCTACAAGTCCTGATCAAACTTGAAGATATCACGATTAAACTATTGTACTTGTCTTCAGGAGGAGTGAGGGTTTTTGGTGGGGGTGTGATGAGGCCTGAATGGTCAGCCCCATGGGGAGCATTTTAATGCCCAGGGAGTAATTGGACGTCTTTGAGAAACAGGGCTCTTTTTTGCCTGCACGGCAAACTCAGAGTGACAGCATGGATTTTAAACAGAGCAAAATAAGCAGCAGTCAGCAGAAATCTCTTTTTCCTCTCTGGATTTCTAACACCATATGAACACACAATGTATTTACATGAAAAGGATGGAAAAGTTAGACAAGTGTTTGTGTGGGTACATGTACTCAGATAACTGAATTAGGGAAATTGTTTATTTTAAATACCTAACCTAACACTTCATTGTTGAAGAGCATGGAAATGTCAGCTGTCATAGCAGTTATGATACAGGCAGTGCCAGTCATGTACCTCATTACACTCAACAGATGCATGACATTTACATGACATTCAGTGCATTTAAATGTGTTGAATTTTTCTAACGTGATTAGCACAGAGTAGTTCCTGTCAGCTCTTCACCCACTGCACTCATTATCTGACGGGTTAGTCTGTGGCAAAGTGGAGTTATTAGATTATTTCCCCCTTCTCACATCAGTCTCCTTGTTTTTCCCAGGATCACAATAACCTTCCAATAGACTCGATGTGAATTATCATCACAATCTCTTCTTGTTGACTCAGTTTCACACTGCTACATCACCATTAACATGTTGTATCTTTTGCAGCTTTTCTGCTTAACAATGTGTTTCACATATAACACTGCGCACATAATGGTTTTGAAAAATGTGATTTTTGAAAATACACCACCGTGTTGCTGGGACATAAAGATTTTCTAAGTTTGTCCTTGCAACATCAAAGACTTGCAAGAAGGCATGCAAGCAGATTAACCTGAGCACTTGACAACATCAGCAACACTAAAAGGCAAAGTTGCAGTTCTCAATAACTTGAAGTAATGTAGGCTTGCTTGTGTACACACACACACACACACGCAAGCACGCGCACACACACGCACACTTCTTGTCTTTATATACACTCCTTTAAATTGATGTTTGCCTCGCTGAGTTTTTCCTTTCTCATTTTGTCCACTGTCTTCTTTGCCCTTCTCATCATATATATCACTCTCTCTCAATATCCTTCTCTGTATCACAATCTTATTCCCTCCCACTTGTCTCTCCTTCTGTGTCCTAAAAACGTCAATAGAGGGCAGATCCATCTTATTGTGCCATAATAGTTTGTATCATTGTGTGAGCACATCACCCAAACCATTCGAGCTAAATTGTGCGTGTGTGTGCATACTTGACAGTATTTGTGTGTGTGTTTGTGTGTGTGAGAGAGAGAGAGAGACTATAGGCTAATTGTTCTACTTAGTCATGATTCAAAAAGATAACGTCATGCCTTCTGTTTCCTGCACAAGGCAGCACTGTTTTGGAGCTGTATGCAAAGCAATCACTGTGTGTGTGTGTGTGTGTGTGTGTGAGTGAGTGTTCACAAGTGAGAGGGGCCTTTGTTGCCTCAAAACGTCATTTGCAGTGCAAGATCACTAGAGGGAAAGGCAGAAGTGTGTTTTTTGTTTGTACGTGTGTGTGCAAGTTATACCTGCTCGAGGCACCTCCTCAAATAAAACAGCAGATGGACTTATGTTTGTGTATGCGTGTCTGACCTCTTTCTTGATTGCCCTTCGCTCTCAGACCCCTGCTGTTTGCCATGAGCAGCTCTTTGGATCCAAAATCTAAAACCTGTGATTTTACTGTTAAACATGAACTGGAATAATGAAAGTGAATAGGCATCATCACCATTCCGAATGCCATTTCAAATGCCATATTCTTACATACTTGCGTAATTCAGCAAGTCCAGAGGAATATCTGATGCAAGATGGGCATTTTATAAAATCTTTCCTTTTCCATTGATTTCAACAGACGTCAAACATCAAATTCTGTTAAAATAATTAACATAATTATTATGGTGAAGAAAGATATGCATTGTTTCGATTTAAAACAAATGCTAATGAGACTTTCTGAAGCAGTGGATGACTGAACAATGCTTTGTCCCTAGAGACAAGTGAATCTAAATGATGAAACATCCCTGTTATCTTACCAATACATTCCCCAATGGTAGGTCTCTTGTGTCAGCTGCAATATGATACTTGTCAACAAATAAAGCTTTGATAATACTTTCATAGCTAAAAACTTTCATGTTTCATAGATTTTATTCTGAGAAAGTCACAGTCGGTTATGTATGGAACTGGCCTTGTTAATACACATGCTTTACAGAGCCTTCAGCACAGACAAATTAACCCCAATTGTCTGATCATCTAATGTCTGACCTTCTGATTCCTTGGTTTGTGTGTGTGTGATGTAATTGAGAGGGACTGAATTAGGGGTCGACCGATGTGTGTTTTTCAGGGCCGATGCCGATTATTACAGACCAAGTAGACCGATAACCGATATTTTGAACCGATATCTATGTTTGGTGTACAAATTAAAATTAATCTCAAAAACTGCCTTCACTGGTGTTGGTTGTACTTCTTACTCTTGTCTTCTTCCATGCATCCATCTACAATAAGGTAATATAAAGAGAGAGTTAAAAGTGGGGCCACTGTATGCTTCATGATTAAGCCTATGAATACTGTACTACAGCTAAACAGCTTGGGGAAATGTAAGTATTTGGCTTCAATAATTTACATGTTAGAAATGTATGTGTAATAGCATAACCTCTCATAATTCTTCACTGATTCTTTACTGATGACTAAATCATAACCTACAAGAGGTGACTGTTCAATTAATCATCTAATGCACATCAATTGATTAACTTAAAAAAAGCACAATGTATATAATAAGTGTAAATAATTTAATTGTCTTCATAGCTCCATTGTAGAAGTTGTTAAAGGGGTCATAGGATGCTACATGCACTTTTACAAGTTGTTTGAACTGAAATGTGTGTTGGCAGTGTGTGTACACAACCACCCTATAATGATAAAAATCCACCCAGTGTTCAAATCTTTACCCCTTTCTCAAATCGAGAGCAGAAGAAGTGAGTATAAGGTTATGTAATGAATCTTTGCAAATCGCCTTTCCTAATAATGTGCTAATTAGCAAGTTTCAAGATTAATGCTGCTCAAGTAAACGGTCTCTCTGTCCCTAAAGAATCATATCAAATTGTGGAAAATGGGCATCCTATGACCCCTTTAAGAAGACCGCAACTATTTTAATTAAACTATAACACTAATAGCCTATTTTATGCAAACTTGGTTCAAAAGACTATTGAAATGTCTCAGTTTTTGTCATCCTAATCTTAGCCTACGTGACAGTATCTTAATCTTGGTAATAGCCTATTTTAGGCAAACTTGGTTCAAAAGCCTATTGAAATGTCTCAATTTTTGTCATCCTAATCTTAGCCTATGTGACAGTATCTTAATATTGGCCTATGTGACAGTAATTTCCATTAGTTTTAATTTACAGTGCAGTGCAAATGAAGGCATAAAACATTAATTTAATTGATATTTTAATCAAATGAGAGTTAAACTATTTTTGGCAAACAAAGGGGTTTACTATTAAAATTAAAACATGGAAGAAATAGTGTATTGTGTGATTATTATTTTAAACAAAAGTTATAATAATTGTAGTAGTAGTAGTAGTAGTAGTAGTAGTAGTAGTAGGCAGAGGCATAGTAATGGGGCAGGCAAGGCAGGCAAATGCATGGGGTACCGCAATGCCGACCATTTAAACCAACAGGAATGTTAATGTTAATAGCTATAACATGCAGCGACATCTCTCCATACTAGAGCCCTGCACGGGCCTCACATTTAGGCCCTAGCCCAGCCCTGGTCGGAGATGATCAGACCCTAGCCCGGCCCATGTCCGACAGCTTAACAGAATTACCGGCCCGAGCCCGTCTTTTTTTTCTCCTTCTCCCAAAACAGCTTATACTAGTAAGTTGTACTTGATAATAGAACAGTAAAATGTACTTAAAATGTGTTCGTGCAATTTGTTACCAAAATTTTTTTAAGTAAATCTTAATAGTTATTTTTTTCAGTGTAGGAGCGTGCTGGACTTTCGACTTCAACTTTCGGTTTGCCCCGACACTCACTTGAAGATGTTCAGGCTAGAGTCCTGCACGGGCCTCAAATATAGGCCCTAGCCCGGCCGTGTCCCGACAGCTTATCAGAATTACCGGCCCGAGTCCGACCAGAGCCCGTCTTTTTTCCCCCTTCTTATAACAATGTTTAAACGTTAAACCTAGATAAATGTGCGCTATATCCAATATTTTGTGCGGAGTGGAAGCTGAAGGCGCCAGCACGATCACTTGCATTTTTTTCAGTGAATACGCCGTCATTTTTGCTCATAAAGGTAAGAGTAATACATCATTCGTAACTGTAAAGGGTCTACTTTTATTTGTGTGCACTCACAGTATCAACAAAACGTTGTGCTTTTATAAAATAAAGAAAACAAACATTATGCGCTTTCTGCCGTCTCGTCTTGAACAGGCGCGCTTCACAAAAATGAACCAAAACTCAGCGAATACATGCCTCACAGACATGATAAATATATCTATAGAAAGCTTTAAATTACTACTTAACGAAATAAAACAAATCAAAAACAAAAACTCTTTCATTATAATCATAATCCGTAAAGATGCACTTCTCTCTAAAGGCGCGTCTGAGGAGATGGCAAGTCAGGATCGGCAACTTCATCCTTGCAACACCGACTCAGAAAACACTATTTATTAGTAAATAATTAAAATATCTCCTTCCTCTTTCCCCCTGACACATTTACGGTAATTACTTTTGCCGATGCTTTGCGGCAAGCTTAAGCCTATTGCGTGCATTTGAACGCAGAACTCTTCAGCTGCGCTGACGGCACGCACCATACATGCTGCTGCTGCTGGACACTAAACACCGTAGAGCCGCTCTTGACAGTCGCTGTAGCACGGTCTCGTGTTGTTTCCACCAGCGCGGCAATTTTTTCATCACTAATTGATGGATGTCTAAAATATAAAGATAAGGAGAAGGCTAAAACAGGCCGGAGGCCCGGCCCGCGTCTGAACTATGACGTGAAAATTGGCCCGAAGCCCGGCCCGAGGGGGCGTAAAAAAGTCGGGGCCCGACGGGCTGAAATGTAGGGCTCTACTCTACTCGTCCTGTAGATTAGAAAATGCATGATCTGAAGCGGAGCAGAATGCGGGACCCGAGCGTTTTTAATCCATTCCTATGGAAGTTGAGCTTGCACAATTTAGGAATGAACTGAAAAAAGTTCGCGCACACACACATAAACACGCACGTTAAAACATAAAGAAGAGGACAAATCTGTCAGGCAGCCTGAAGAAAAAAAAGATGAGGAAAAGAGGAAACAGGACAACGGTAAGCATAGGCACCAATTTGTGTTTCTGCCTACACTCTATTCCACTCTAAACCACATATAAAACATTTTATTCATCATTGTTTCCATGAGCAAATGATAATGGGCTAGGTTGTCATGCAAGAATTGTGCCTTAAATATTTTAACATTCCTATTTTTTAAAGCCTAATTAAAATCCTAATTAATTAAAAATTATAAATATTTTTTTCTCCGTTTGATATTGTGCTTGAATTCATTAGGCTACACAAAATATATTATTCGTGTCTCGCAAAGAGAAACGCACAGACTGCGTTTATTTTGACAGGTTGCCATGAGGACCTTTTAAAGGGGCCATAGGATGCCCATTTTCCACAAGTTGATAGATTCTTTAGGGTCTTAATGAAAAGTCTGTAACATAGTTTGGTTAAAATTTCTCAATGGTAGTGTAAAAAACACCTTTTTTACCCTGTCAAAAACAGCTCTTTTCAGATCAAGCTGTTTTAGTAGCATTTTCCTTTAAATGTTAATGAGCTATGCTGACCCCGCCCCTCTCTTCCAAGCTGCTCACAGAGAGACTGTTTACTTTAGCCGCATTCATTGTGAAACTTGCTAATTAGCACATTATTAGGAAAGGCGATTTGCAAAGATTCATTAAAAAACATTAAACTCACTTCTGTAGATGAGGCTGGATCATGAATGATTCGCGCCAACATAGACGCATTTATGTAGATCGGGGCGCATTCCCTTCAGAAACAATGTAATCCACTGCGAGTTCAGCGGCTCAGATGTCGGGAGTAAATGACGACTGCTATGTTCATTATTACATCCGGAGGGCTCAGAAACTATCTGAGATCGGCTCGATTTGAGAAAGGGGAAAACATTTAACCAGATTAAAAAAAACCACTGGGTGGATTTTTATCATTATAGGGTGGTTGTGTACACACACTGCCAACACACATTTCAGTTCAAACAACTTGTAAAAGTGCATGTAGCATCCTATGACCCCTTTAAGTTTCTGTAGCCTATGTATATGATCTGATGATAGTTTTACTCAAATGAAACGGTCAAATGCTCATGAAGTGACTCTCAGAGTAGTTCTGGGGATGTTGTTCATGTATTTATGTACTCATTCTGTGAGACAGCAGATGCTGAAAACACCGCGAGCGTCACGCACTTCAGTATGTGTGTAGTATACAAAACCGCGCGTCTGTGCCATTCACATATACAGAGACACGCAGAACATGCAGGATTCATATTTAAATAGTCTTTTTGCGGCTTAATATTTACAGATACTAGTCCATAGCGTGAGTCGATTTAAGGGCTGACCTACTTTTGATTAATTCATCCAAACTTTGACAAATTCCGTGACATTCCGTGTTATACAGTAGGCCTACATTCCATTTATATGACTGGATTCCGCGATTCCGTCCGCGTTTTCCCTATCGTGGAAACCATAAATAGATAATATTGAGGTGTTTTGCAACTTCAGTGTAGTGGATTGTGATTTATTGCAACTTCAGCAACGTCTGCTGCTGCCTTAGAGAGACAACTGAACTGATGCGTGATCACTGAAGCAGCTCCAGTTAGCAAGCGCTTTCGGTGTGAGAGTGCAAAACTTTCAGTGCCTTTAGCCTTCCTGATTGGTCGGACTCGTGACTCCCAACAAATCAGACGGGCGGTGGGCAGAGATTGCTCTAGGCCACAGAGTGGTGAGTTCCGACAGGCTGCATCAGAGCCAGATAGCGTGTTTCAAAATGAAATTATTTTATCGGCAAATCGGTTTTGTAAATGACCGATACCGATAATCATAAAAGTGCTTAATATCGGCGTCGATAATCGGCCAGGCCGATAATCGGTCAACCCCTAGACTGAATAGAAGCAGGCCATGCAAACCAGATCAACATCCACTCAGTTTATCTAGCTCTCATACTGTGCCAACACATTATTCAATTAAAGAACATCTCTGGTACTTTCACAGTGCCTTTAAATATTCAATAGCAGTTCAATAACAATGAAATGGGAATAAAGAGATCATTTGGAAATGGAAAGCCCTTGTTTTTGTAACAAATGGGTGTGGAATGTATTCTAGCTGATGCACTGTTCTGAGATATCAAGTATATTTTAATGCTGACAATAAAAATTATACTCAAAACTGCATCATCGCCAGGTGGGCATGCAAAAAATGCCATCATATTCCACAATGCTATTCAATACCACACCCTTATCACCACTAAACATTATTGTCCCATCATGTCATCGGGTTTTGTGACGCCCGATTCAACACATATCGGATTTAGAGGCAGAGTTGACTGAGACGACTACAAATTTTACGAGCACTATGTCCCAGGTCTCCTTTCTTCTTATTAGTTCAGTCATCTAAAGATAGTTCCAAAAAACTGTCACACATGAGGGTTCTCTTTTTTAGGGCAATCTTTCCGCTCGTTCAAACACACACATATACACGCGCGCCTGTATGCTTAATGGAAAATTCCATGCCTTTTTGCAGATTGTGCATTTTTTCTAATTAATCAAATTTAAAGGTGATAGGCCTAAGAGTCCCAAACGTCCCAGCAGACAGTTTGATAAGCATTCACTGCATCAAGACAATCAACTCCATTACAAACCATGTGCCCAGAATTTAACCACCTACCATTAGCACAAGACAAAAACTGTTTGTGTTAATCAAGCTCAGTTTAATGTAGTTCAAATATAGATACTCTGTCATTTGTGACAATGTTATTTATTATTTTTCGTACATAACATATGGGTGTCATATGGGTATCTATATCTTATTCTAAAGTAACATCTTAAATCAGATCAATGTCATTTCATGCAGGCATGTTATGGACACCTATGCACTTGTCCTAAACAGCCTTGATTCCAACTGATGCTGTAACTTGGGGTCCTGAAAGTGATGCTGTGTCATGCTCTTGTAATTGCAGGCAGGAAGGAGGAGTGTGTGTATGTGTGTGTGTGTGTACTACAACCACTTAACGCACACAATACTCTTTTAAGACTCTGCTGGATGATGTTTCTGGGTGCGGCTGGATGTGTTCCTGATTTCTGGCTTACTGTCCTAGCAGGTAATTATATTAGACACATGCTTTGAGCTAAGCATCCTTTGTGTACTTCCACTTATGCCTCTCACATAGCATGGTGTGTGGTGTGTGTTTGCTTACCTGGTCCTGGCAGCTCTGATTGTGGGTCTCCAGAGTCCAGAAGGCCCTGCGTGGGGCCACTCCGATGTGCAGTCTCACCGGGCATATCTGTGTGGCACAGCCTCTGACGCAGTGCCTAAAAACAGGAGCCAGTAAACTGAGGACAGAGAAAACGAGTAAAGGATGTTGTCTCCTCAGTGCAGAGATACAGATCCGTGTTCACTGCGTGTGCATCTATGTCATCCGTGCATGTGAGAAAGAGAGAGAGAGAGGGGCTGCAGAGCCAAGCCGGTAACAGCATGGGAAATCTGAGCGTGAGCTGCAGTATTCTCTCTGATTACGAGAGAGCCCGCCCCAATCGGACTCTCTGTCGCTCTCATCACCCCTCCCTTCCTCACTGCTGTGCTGCCTCATAACCTCGCTCCCTCTCTCTCTCTCTCTCTCTCTCTCTCTCTCTCTCTCTCTCTCTCTCTCTCTCCTTCCCTCCTGCTCTCCCTTCGGCAAGTGGGTCTTGGACAATGATGTCAGCAGATTTCTGTATCTCTTGGAGGCTGGGGGTATAGTAATAGAAAACACAGCAGGCAAAAAGATAGAGATGCTGTGCACTGAAAAAATTAAATCTAATCTGATAACCATGCTGAAGAAAAAAAAACCGTTGTTGGTTTTAGCTGGTTTAAGATGGTCTCCCAGCCTGGCTAAGCTGGTGTTAGTGTCAAAAACCCCCCTAAAACCATCAAAACCGATTGGGAGACCTGTTAAAGGGGTCATATGATGCTGCTAGAAAGAACGCCTTCTTTCTTTGCGTGAACATTTGGGCGGTGTTATGCAAATCTTCCCACATAGTGAGGTAGATATGTGGGGGCGTGTTAGAACGAGCCGTTTTAGGTAGGTGTGGCTGACTCTTAACTTTTATAAAGAATATCTCTTTGGATTTGAGACTTTAGTCTTTGCAAATTTACAGATCTTCTTTATGCACCAAGAGCTTGTAACACTCCAAAGAGAAAGGAAAAAATGAAATCGCATCATATGACCCCTTTAAAGTTGGTGTTTTGGGATAGTTTGGGTCCTCCCGAAATTGGCTCTCCATCAGATATCAGGTAATATCAAGTACATACAGATAATTTTAATTTAAAATATAATGGCTTATTATATAGTGCTTAATAAAACTAATTTGATGATAAACTGTTAGTAATAATATGTTAATTTAATAACTAAAATACATTTAATACTTGATTACATTAAAGATTGTTATAAATACATGTAGGGTAAGTGCAAATTCATAAAGCTATCAGGACAATCTGGTATATGCTATGCTAGATAAGCTAACTAAAACAAACATCAATGTTCATTATAACATAGTTCAAACAAAATTGATCATATCATGATTTTGTAGGAATTGTAAACAGGCATTAAAAAGAGTTCCCATTAAAAGCAATTTGAGCCAGTAGGATTGCTTGGGCTCCTAATGGAGACTTTTTTTGAGGGAGGAACTGATTTGTCACCACATCGGCATGAAATGGAGGTTCCAATTATTGTGGTGTATATCCAAGTGAAACGGATTCCCAAACAAGAAAAAATGTAGGGTGGAATTTAAAGGGATAGTTCACCCAAAAATGAAAATACTGTCACCCTCATGTCATTACAAACCTGTAAGACCTTTGTTCATCTTTGGAACACAAATAAGGATATTTTTGCTGAAATCCGAGAGCTCTCTTACCCTCCCATAGACAGCAAGGGTCCTACCACGATCAAGGCAAAGAAATGTAGTAAGGACATCGTTAAAATGGTCTATGTGACATCAGTGGTTCAACCGCAATTTTACGAAGCTATGAGAATACTTTTTGTGTGCAAAAAAAACGAAAACCTCCACGTCACCTGGCACCATTTTGGAGAGTAAACACGACGCATATGCATGCTTTGACCTGAACGCAAACAACCTTGCTGTCTATGGGAGGGTCAGAAAGCTCTACAATGTAGTCAAAACTATCTTAATTTGTGTTCCGAAGATGAACTAAGGTCTTACGGGTTTGGAACGACATGAGGGTGAGTAATTAATGACAGAATTTTCATTTTTGGGTGAACTATCCCTTTAATTTTTTCCATCGGGAATCGATTGGATTATTGTTGTTTGCTATTCTTGCAATCTCATGTGAGTGACAGGTTGCTGGAGGGGGTGTTGTCCATTCCTTGAGTCGTTGAACACATCATCACAGATGTTAATGATCATCAAAATATTTAATAATGTGCATGGATAAATAGTAATAAACACTTCAATATTCCATACAAGAAATGTCAGTTTGATTTCATGGTGTTTTAAATATTAGTGCAGAAAACAGTAGTTTAAAAAAAAAAAAAAATTATTTATCCATGCACATCACTAATTTTTTTTTTATTTTATTTTTTTTACATTTACAGCAGTTAACAAATGACAAACGATCCAGTCAATTCTTAATGGACACAATCACATCCCTCTCTACATGTTTTCTTGTTCGAGAAGACATTTCACTTCAATTCACAGTAAGGAAGAAAATACAAAAGAAAAGAATGCAATTTCCATTTCATTGCCAACTTTAAGACCAGCAAAACAGCGTTGGGTGTTATTTTTTTCAGCAAGAAGCGGTTACATGACAACCATACTGCAGACAAACAATAACATCTTGTTCTCCACTTCCCTCTCTCTATACAACACATAGTCACTCCCCAGGGAGCACTTCATCGGTTTTAGCATCATGCATTTGAAAAATGTTTGTCCCATGCAGAGATGTGTGTTTGGTTGTGACAGGTTGTTAAAGTGAGATACTGTAACTAAAATATATTGTGCTATATAATGAGTTGAAATCATAATGCAATTTATAAAACAGTTTTGAAGTATCTTAAAATGACAAAGAAGTAGAAATACTCTTTCAATGATAATGTTGTTTCAAATCAATGAGATAAAAACAACATCTTTAAAAATCAATGTAACTGCGCTTCATGAAAGTGAGAGTGAGGGATACTGCAGTAAATTTAGCTACAGCGTACAGGGCTATGTTTCCACGGCAACTGTGGGGGAGAACTCATGAATGCTTTAGAAAGGGAATCCAATATTCAGCAGGTTCCAGCACTGGCAAGACTAAGGGACTTTCCTGAGTTTTTCTTCTCTTTCTGCCTCTCACTTTCTGTTTCAAACATCCGGATCTTTCTCTGGAATTTTAGGGAACTGGATGACTGGAACAGCCATACAGAGTGATAAAAGTTCTATTCACTTCTCTCAATACATTTATATATATTGAAAGTGAAAGCGAATAAGAAAAAAGACAGACACATAAAAAGATAACTCTCTAATTCGATTAAATTCAGAGAAAGGGTCATAGGTTTTCCTGGTAAAATTATGGATCAGTTTACTCAAAAATGCCCAGACACTACATGAAAAGTATGTTCATATGTGCTTTACTGTAAAAACCATGTGCATTATTAGGGAGTTTGTGTCAAGTTTTTCGACACCAGACTCAATAAAACATTTGAAATGTGTGCTAAATTCAGATGACCCAATAAAAAGAGACAGGAGAGGGCCTTCTATCGTAATAGATAACTGGTCAAATAAACAGAATGAGAGATGTGTGGATCAAATAAGGAAGAATACTCGTCACCTTCCCTGTAGCCTGCAGAGAGGTCAGCGCTCCTTCATTCTTCAAGGCTCTTCAGAGGGGCCCCTGCATAACTCAGTCTGACTGAGCTAACCCGAGCTGGGGTCGACCTGCCCTTCAAGGTAAGGAAGACAGAAGGACTAAAACAAAACCTTGTTTCCTCTTGCACTGATGTCACTGCCTGGCTATACAAACATGCAGTGAAAGCCCTTACAAAAAAACAATCATCTATAACTATACATGACAGGGGCTGAGCTCATTAATGTCATATAATGCAAAACAACAAACAAATTTATAAGTAAACAATTCGATAACAAGCTAAATATTTTGAACCAGAGTTGTATTTTTCTTATAGCTAATGGCAGTGGCATTAATGCTATGATGCATGATTCCCCAAAGAACCTTAAAGTGAACAGTTCTTTAAAAAATAAACTTTTTTTGTCATTGTGTAAAACATTTTAATATCACAAAGAACCATTTTTCACTATAAAGAACCCTTCGTGCAATGGAAAGGTTCCATTTATCTTGAAGTTTCTTCATGAAACCATGTAGGCCTAGCTATGTCAAGAAAGAACCTTTATTTTTTTAGCAGTGTATAGCATTAAAATAACCTTCATCCCTTGACAATTTTTGATTTCTAGCAGGTGAACAGACTTTTTTTTCCAGCAGGGGATGGTAAAGTTTGGCACTGCGAGCAGTTCGGAAAAAAACTTACCTGGTGCTTTTCAATGAGAGAGCCCAGCAGTCTAAACAGAGGTCGGGCACAATCCTGTGAAACTCTGGCCAAGTAATGAGCTGTGGACTCTGTTTGATTGTCAACCATTATAGTTTGCAATAGATTAATACTGGCAAATTATTTGGCATACTTTCTAACTATGTCTATATTATACAACAGTTAAGTGCTCGAATGTGATCGAACAGTGTTCAAAGCGCTGAAACTTCAGTTTGTATCATTCTGATTGTTTGTGTTTTAACGCGTTTTTTTGACAAGCTGTTGTCTGCTTGGTGGTGATTACATCATGACGCCAGTATATGGCAACAAGCGACTGTTCTTTATGAGGGTGTCATTATTGAATCATTTATAAAACCAGGGAGTCATTATTGAATCATTTATAAAACTGATTCGTTCATTCTGGAACGTCCACGTGTTGCTCGGAGACTTGGGTTGATCTGAAACGTTTTCGCTGGCGGAGCAAAACTGACAAAGTCACCTGGAACAATTTGGGTCTAAAATGTAAGTTACTCAATTTTAACACGTTGGTTATTTAACTGTTGTGTTGGTTGACAATCTGACCACAAAAGAGGTAAAGTTAGGTCTTTTTGAGGTCTGTCCCAAAAATATTTGGATACTCAACCACACTTTAAGATGTCATTACGTTATACCAGTCAAGTGATAATGTTATTTTTTTAAAGGAAATATAGACCAAAGCTTTTCAAAGCAACATTTCATTAGGTTCCAAATTATAAATCAATAGGTATAATTAAAACGGAAGATGAACAAGGTGAAAGAACGGTGAGCTACCCTTGTGTTTACCCTTCTGTGAACTTGAGGGGAACTGTGACTTCAAGTTTTGATATGCACAATCAGCTTGTAACACTCCAAAGAGAAAGGAAAACTTGAAATCGCATCATATGACCCCTTTAAAGTAAGTTTTAGTGATTTAAAATGAAAATAAGACTGCATATTTCAGCTAACGTCAGATACACCTAAATATTTATTGTTAATTGATAATAGACCGCTTATTATTAAAAAGACGTTTATTAGATTCTGATACATATCAGGACATTTGCTCAGCACCACAAAGCATAACTCTGTGTCTGTCTATGAAGTCTTAAATCATAGTAACAGATAGAAAAATAAATTAAGACCAGTACACATTTCAACACAGTCAGCATTAGCAAACCACATTCTGCAAAATACAGCCACGAGTCACCATATGCTTTTTGATGAAAATACGAGATTTGATTTTATTAATAACACGCATCGCAAACATGGAGTTGAAAGTCTTAAATGAAGAAAATCCATTCTCTGCACAAAATCTTTCAAGATTTGAACAGGAACTTATGTTCTCCATGAAGACTGATAAGCATATGTACTTCAGGTTTACCTGACAACAAATAACAGGACTGCAACTAGGTCTAAACATACCAGAATGCAATGACGACCTTTCCAAAATAAATATTTAAAGGAAATATTTATTAAAATCCATTATGCATTCTTACATACTGCCTTGTTTTACATATTTTTAATTAAATCACAAGCATATTCGCAAATATACAGATATCAGGTGAGGCAAGTAGAGTTATTTTACTTTTTCTTTTTTAATGACAACACCAATAGAGTGGTGCTTTCTAAGTCTAAAGAAATCTTTAAGTACTGAACTCTCAATCCCTTTCGCCATAAATATTTCCAGCCTAACAACTGTCTCCTTGGCAACAAGGAAAGCCCCATGTGTTGTCTAGGCAACTGAATCAAAAACAGAAGGTGTATGTATTTATTATAAGTGGAAGTAGAGAGTGTGAACATCCAGTTGTTTGCGAGGACATAGACGATCAACACAAAGGTCTGACAATTTAGTTGTTTTCCCCTGTGGTGAACATTGCTTATGCCCTTTAGATCACTCACGCTTTCGTTTCACAACATTCGCCTAGCTCTTTGGCTCAGAGTTTCTTTTTTGGGAAGGCAGCAGATACATGACTCTGTTGCTTCCGAGCATCTGCTGATTTCTGGAGGCTCTGCTTTCTGTTCCTGCAGAGATTGATCACAGCTCCCAGATGCATTTGATTTCCACTCTGATGTTCGGGTGGATCATGGGAATTGAGGATGCTGCAACGATCTCTTTGTTGTGTGTGTGTATATGCAGTACTCATTCAATATCTCTGTCACTCCCTCACCTGTAAGTCATGTTATTGTCTGGGGCTGTTAGTGTCTATGAGCAGGCTGTGTCAAAAGCATTTAAAGTTATTGACAGGCTTGATGGCTCATTTAGCCATGTCCTCAGCCACTGCCTTCCCTAATTTGTCTTTCAAGTAAGCCACTTTCTGCCAGTCGGACTTCAGCTCCAGCCATTCAAAGTACGGCACCTGTAGGGGAAAACGTTGTGACACATCAGTATGCTTGAGAGTGAAAGTGTGGTCAACTGTGGTCGAGTCATTTCAATAAGGAATTTGAGGGTGAAAGATTTCACAATGAGTTCAAATTGGTCATGACTGTTGATTCGTTGCATTGGCCAACTGCTTGGTTTAAAAGTGACTGTGTAAACTGTGCTATATATACTACAACACAATGGACAATAGAACTTTTTACCGGTTAAATTTTGCCACAATTTTGCAGATGTGATGCAAAAATCAATCTCAGAAAATGGAGAAGTGTTATGAACTTTGGCATATTAAAATGGCTGTTGTCAGCTAGCGCATCAAATGGCAAGAGCATTATGCAAGGCCTGTGCTCAGTTGGAAGTAAAGATGAGTCCAGCCAACTCTATCTAACTGTACCCCAGGAGGCAGAGGGCTAACAGGATTGGCCTACATGCTGCAGACAGAGCCTGAGTCCTTTCAACAGTTCTGTCTTTACCGCCGCTATTTATAACCCAAAGCCAGGGGGGACTGCCATGTAATAGCTGTGACAATAGGAATAGAGCTAATCAGGCTAACTACACCGGTATTATAAAAAGGAGAGTATATCAAATAAGAAGTGCTATTGTGAGTTGGAAGACCATCAGTAAATGATGCATAGCTGATACTAACACTCTAACCCCTAATGCTCATGTAACTTATCCCTAATTAAATGATGCTTACAAAATTGGCTTACTTTTGTGCAGTAAACACTGCTGACGCTGCACTTCATTAAAACTTATTTACAAGATAACTATAATGTTAAAGCTGCAGTCCGTAACGTTTTTTGGTTAAAAATGATCTGAAATCAATATTTGAGCAAGTACATAAGCCAGTGTTCAAAACTATCACCTTACTTTAGCCGATTCACAATGGTTAGCTTATAATAATGTTTTCTAATTTGAGTGGTACGGATAGGTTTTCGCGGGAAATTCGAGCATGCTGCTGCGTCATTACTTCACGTCTGTCAGAAGTTGTTCCGGCTACTAGGTGACGAATCGTTTATAGCCTTTTCTCACAGCAGCTGGAATAATTAAATGTATTATTTTGATGGTGGATTGTAATCCATAAAGGATTATCAGCCCTCTACGAACACCTTGGCAATTGAATCGCCTTTGGCTAGTAAATTTTTTTGTTTACTCGCCAGACTGCGAGATATATATATATGTTTGTAAAATGGCACAGTTTTATAAATATCTGAAAGTACACTCTTAACATCAGTCAGTCAAGCATTATAATATGATAATCAATATTATTTAATGATAGAACTTAGTAATTAGAATTAAAACTTGATAGCCATGTATGAATGCATATTAGTCATTTTAACTGAACTTCGGACTGGTGGTGGTGCTTTTTTGGTCATTCAGTGTTT